GATTCTTAATTCAATTCCTATTTAAATCCAATGGATAAAATATTTTTATTATTTAATGTAACCTTGCAAAATTTTTCAATCTCATTTCTCAGAAACACATTCATTCTATTTTTAACTAAAATTAATTACTATGAAGTCCTAACGTGATCGTGTTCATCGATGCATGCACAATGAGAATTATCCACAAAGGATGAGACTTCAGAGACGACTGTACGGAATTTGACTGTTTCCTTATGTTCACGTTTCTCTGCATCTGAACTTCAAGGGATTTAATTTACCCTTGGAATTGTCAGGTCGTCCCTACAGTCTCATTCTTTCTGGGTAACCCTGTACAGAAATTTAACGTCTCATAAATACATAATTTTAATAAAATAAATTAGTTGCTGTTAAATAATCACCAATTTTTATAATAACTAGAAATTTAAGGCGCTTCGCGCCCTTCTTTCTAGGCTTTCCATCTATTTAAATTGTGAACATTGTTTAAATTTTAAAAACAAAGAAAATTTTTTTTGCGGATTTAAAAAAAAATTGCGGATTTTCAAGAATTTTTTTTTTTACAAAATTAAATACCTTTAAAACACATTTTTTTAAATTTTTATCATTCATAAACCTTTCCTGTGGTCACGTGATGTCCCACACAAAATTTGGGCCCGATCGGTTCAGCCGTTTTGACGCTTATTGGATACAAACAGACAGACAGACAAACAAACAGACAAGCCAAATTTATATGATAGATTAGGGCTTCCAGTTCCACCGGATTTACCGTTTATTTTTGTGCGTAAATTCTAAGATCTTGTAAATTTAATGTGAATTTTGATACAAAATTACTTGATGCTTTGACGTTTCTCTATTTGAGGATTGATCCCCAGGCTTGAAATATAGAGGAATTGAGTCTTTGCCACAAACTTCGATCTTCTTATCTTTACAACCCAGTGTCGTAGAATTTAGATATTTAATACTATGAATTCTGTTAGATCACAGAGTCTACGTTTAAATATCAAAGGTTTATATCGTCAGATTGCAAAGATATAAGGATTAGAAAATTTGAGTTTAAGGCAAAGACTGAATTTCATGAACGTTAAATTTCCATGAAAAGGAAGATATGATATTTTGGTTTGAATTTTGGAATTGTTTGGGCCGAATCTGGTGTATATTATAAAATGATGCATTGTATGTATTTAAATATATAAATAGCATTGCACCATTCTCTGCTTCCGCTTCAGTTAATATAATGCTTTCCCTCCACTTCCTTACTGTCAACACAGTTCCGCTAGATTATACAGTATATATAATATACATTATACATACTCTAGCTTAACAAATCTTGGAAACTGTTTCTAGGGCAAAATTTGGAGTTTTGGCAGAGCAAATCTTGGAATTAAACTGTTTCTAGGGTAAAATTTGACACTTTGAGTAAATATTTGGATTTGTTTTTAGGACTAAATTTGGAGTTGTTGTAGAGCAAATTGTGGAAACTATTTCTAGGGTGAAAATTTGGAGTTTGGGCAGAGTAAACCTTTGAAACTGTATATCGGGCAAAATTTGGAGTCTTGGCAGAGCAATTCTTGGAATTAAACCGTTTCTAGGGTATTGACGTTTATCGGGCAAAATTTGGAGTCTTGGCAGAGCAAATCTTAGAAATAAACTGTTTCAGGGCAAAATTTGGAGCTTTGAGCAAATATTTAGATTTGTTTCTAGGGCAAAATTTGGAGTTGTTGTAGAGCAAATTGTGGAAACTATTTCTAGGGCAAACATTTGGAGTTCGGGCAGAGCAAATCTTGGCATTAAACTCTTTCTAGAACAAAATTTAGAGCTTTGAGTAAATAGTGGGAACTGTTCCTAGGGCAAAATTTAGAGTTCTCGCAGAGCAAATCGTGGAATCTATTTCTAGGGCAAAAATTTGGAGTTCAGTCGTGAGCAAATCTATGAAACTGTTTCTAGGGGAACAATTTAGAGCTCTGAGCAAATTTTGATAACTTTTCTAGGGCTAAATTTGGAGCCACGGTTAGGGCAAACCTTGGGAACTTAACAAAGCAAACCTAAAAACCATAGCTATGGCAAACACTTAAGTGGTGTAGGAATCCAAACATTGAGAAATCTAGCAAAGCAAATCTAAGAAACTAAAGCCCAAACCTAAGGCAAAAATAGGTATTTTTGGTAAAGCAAACTTAGGGAACTAAGGCGAAACAAACATCGGAAACTTAGCTAGGGCAAAAAATTTTATATCTAGCAAAGCAAATTTCTTGCCAAATTTAGTTAGGGATAACAAAAGATGTACCACTAATGCAAACATTTCAAACTTTAGCAAACCAAACATATATAGATATCTAACTCATCTTGTTCATGTAAAGAATATTATTTAATAAAATATATTTATGCATAATGCAATAAAAAATCTTTGAAATCATCCCAATAAACATGGGAATTAAGTGACGAATTCGATATCGTCTTTTTAAATAGTTCTTTGATTTAGTACAGTGATACCCACTGAGAAAGCTGTAATAGTTTCGTCTGCTATTTTCACATTTTGTTTGCTTATGTTTTGACTGCATACGGGTGTACTTAGTAAAACAAGAAAATTACAGTATACAAACAGAGTAAACTTGTCCGTCTTCACTGTTCATCTTGCGGAGACATTATAAACACATCTTAAAAGTCTTTTACCCTTTTCATAAAATAAATTCTAGCAGACATAATATTATGGCTTTTGAAATTAGGTATTACAATGCTAGTTCATTACAAAGACGATATCCAATTCGTCACTGAATTCCCATGTTTTTTGGGACACTCTGTATATTTGTTGTTCGTAACCTTAACTTTAAAAGATTCATATTCTAAAGTCATGAATTCCAAACATTTATCTTGGCTTGTTAGCAAGAAATACATTCTTTTTTCTAAATACTTCAATCTTTTACACTGTAAAGCCATACAACCTTTAAAACTCAGACGTCTAAAAAAACCTAGTAAAAACCAACTTTAAGCTAGGCTTCAGCGCCATTTCTATCGACCAATAGTATACCAAAATTTGACGTACAATTCTTCTTTATCCAATAGAATCATCTAAGCGAGGCTAAATGTTATATTTGTATTTGTAGAGTCTAAAATTTCTGACTATTTGAATGTTGAATGAAAGAAGTTATTGAAAATCAAACATTTAAAAACTATTCCTACAGATATTAGCGTAAAACAATTTAGCTTAGTTAAATTCCGTGGATATATCTACGTAGTTAGTCTTGAATAGTTTGAGTAAATATAAAAGGATAAAATACTTTTATTGTTTGAGATTTTAATTTAATAATTCAAATTTAAATCCCTCTAAAATTAAGAACTTATTTGATTATAAAAATTATATTTAAAGTGTCTAATTTTCAACACATTCAGCAACTCGAGCATGTGTTTGAAGCATATAATAAATCAAACTTGGAAACTTAATCAAAGACAACCTTGTAACCTATAGCTAGGGCAACTGTTGAAGTTTTCGCAAAGACGACCTAGGAAACAATAGCAAATGGAAGAGATAAAAAATTCCGAATTTGTGGGAAGAATTCTTTTTTGAGTAATAATTTGGTATTCCATGACTAAAATAATATATTTTATTGTTTTTTTTTTTTTTAATAATCTTAGTAAATAAAGAAACAAGATCACGCACACAGTATACTAAAACTTTAAGAAAAAAGTATGATGGCCAGGATAAGTGTTCCAATTTGGATCCGTCCGGAAATACAGGCTGTCCCTCGGAACAAAACAGTTTGAAGACGTCTTGAAGGTCAAAAAACTTTTAAATATATGATTTTTATTAAAAAAATGTGGTCTGCCTTATTAACGCGTTCAATATCAACGGATGTAGGAAATTTAATTTCAAATTATTCATTTTAACATTCGAGACGACCTTCAAGACATCTTCTAATTTTCATGTTTTGTGGAACACCCTGTGTTTATATACCAGCATTTCATCCAATCAATTCAAAGTTTAAACCCTAAGTTGAGCTTTTAGATGAAGCTTAGCGTTTCATTTTAATAATATTGTAACCTTTTAATTATTAATGTTTATTTAATGGTGTGATGAATAAATAACAGGTCAACAGACATAAAGTTTCTTTTCTCCTTTTCTTTAGTCCTTTTACCTTATTATGTAACGTTTGAATAATATAAAAATGTATTGAATACTGTACAGAACAATATTTTAACACACGGTGTTAATTTATCACAGGTTTCTATTCATCAGCATGTAGGCTGTATAGTACACAGAGTTTAATTAAGTACAATTATCTATATAATAAAGCTCTTCGTCAAACGACTGATTTTTTTGAGGGAACCCATGGGTACCCTTGGCCAACTAAGGCAAAACAAAATTTTTTATTTTTTTCTAAATTCAAATTTTTCCCTTCAAGATTGATTTTTTTAAATTAATTTTTTTAAATAGAAATATTTTTTCTTAATTTTTTTTTTAATTCCACGGACAACGCCGGGCACTTCAGCTAGTAACAAATAAAGCACTAACTCAAGAGTACTCGTGTCAATAGAGGATATTTTTGGTTAAAGTACCATTTACAATTTCAGCTACAAGGAAACAAGTTATCGGCACATTTGTAATATATAACACATAGCACACAAGAAGTATAAAACACTATACATTAATATGTAATTTAACAATTAATCATAAAATTAACTACTTCCAAGTGTACAAAAGGTTCACAACTTCAGTATATAACAAGGTGAAAAATTTAACTATCGTCATAATTTACTTTGAAAAAGAAGATAAATTGTGTATCTATAACTTAATAATTAAATATTTAAAACAGATCAGATGGTTAAAAAATTAATAAAAAATTTAAAGAAGCTGAAAAAATGACTAACATTATTACGTTTAAAAAAACAAATTGTATAAAAAAATCTCAGTTTCTCAAATTTTTATTTACAATTCTTTTTCTATAAAATAAAACAAGACATTCGTATATATATGTTGCGAATAGCCGGCCAAACGGCTGGACCGATTGGGCTAATTTTTTTTCAAGACACTCATGTTGTTATAAGCCAAAAAAAAATTTGAATTTTTTTATCCACGGACAACGCCGGGTCCTCCAGTTAGTATGATATAAATGCATAGTTTATAACTGTACAAGTGGATTTGTGTAAGTTCAAAAACTGTAATCTATTATTCTGCTTTCTAAATTTAAAGTACTCTTTTTAAAAAGTATTATGTGTGGAACATTATTCTTAAAAATATCACTTACAATTGACAAGTATTTTCCATATTTTCCATAAAAAAAATTCTGAGAATTGAACGTACCTGCATCTAATTCTGAACAATCTGGATTTCTAAAAATTTAAAATTGACTGTACAATATATTTGTTATGTTCGGAGAATTACACTAGCACATTGCACATTTTGCCAGGGGATTGATCGTATTTTTTTTCACGCAAAAATATCATGTTTTTCCTTGACAATTTTAAATTTGTCTTTTAGCAATTGTAGAAAAATAAATGATCACTTTCTAATATAAGAGAGATGCATTTTGCAAACTGGAAAGCATATTGCCCATACATTGCATATACGATGTAGTTTGCAGTGCCACGCATAGGATCAAACTGGATTGCAATAAAAGGATCTCAAGAGGTAAAAGCCATTTGTGTTAATTTTTTTGGATAGTTAACTTTAAACTTCAAATTATTCTAAATTTTTTAAAAATCTTCAACATGAAAAATGTGTGAGGTTTGAATTATACAACAAAAAGATAACAAAAATCATAGATTAATGGAAGACAGAAGGTTTAAGCTTTTGAGCTTTGGTGGGTTTGTATTATCATCTATGCATATATAATAGTTGATATATTAACTGAATGTAAAATTATTTCCGTGGATATGTTTTTAAACTTTTATCCAAGAATTTGATGATTTAATCTCCTAGACATCTCTAGTTTTAACCGAGGATTTCATGATTTAATCTTCTAAATATCTCTAGTTCTATTACGGTTTTCATCTTCAATGCATAAAATAACATCAGACTTCGTCCTGGATTCTTTTCTTGAACCTGATTCAACCTTGCTCATTCTCCTCTCCCTTCTCCGTCCTTCCATCTGCTTCACGTAGGCGTAGACTACTCCGCCCAATATATTCATTACCAGTCCTAAACCATTCATTATATTCATTATCAGTCCTACACCATTCATTATAGTCATTACTAGTCATAGTTAGTTATAATATTCTTTACTAGTCATAAACAATTCAATTGAAGTCCTAAACTATTAATTACTGGTATAACAGTCACAATACAACAATTTAGTAATTGTCCTAACTCCTAACCCCCATCATTACAATTTATATTACAATATATAACTAGTAATATGTTTTTTATATTCATAATAGGTAAATATAAAGTATTTGTATAATATATATATTTGCCATGCCTCTTGTATGGTTTCTCCATTATAGCTCATCCAGATGAGAAAATAATATATAATAAAATAAAAATCAAACAATACATCTACATATGTAGTACTTAACTCAGAATAAAGGGGGGAACTAATGAATATGAATATTGAGGAAAAGGGTCAAAAAGAAAAAAGCGGGGTGGGCCTCCTAGTAAGAATAAACAAATAAAATAAAAATTATCTTAATCCAGAAATCTAAAAAAAATTTCTATTAAAAATTTCTTACTATCTCCCCCCACCCCCCATTTCCGATCCAAATATTTTGTATCTTCTGTTTCCTTACAATTGGTGTAATGCAAAGAAAGAAGAATCCTGCTTAATACTTACTTTATATCCCATACATCACACATAGAATATATTACTTAGTCAATGCACTTGAAGATTCAGAAGTTATTTGTAAAATATACTACACTTGACAATATCTCATAAATATACTACACTTGACAATATCTCATAAATATACTACACTTGACAATATCTCATAAATATACTACACTTGACAATATCTCATAAATATTTATTTACACATCAAGATAAATCTCTTAACTATGATATTATAAGACATATTACACAAGAATCTTTAAGAGTGGTCTATTTAAAAAGTCTCAAAAAAGTTGTTAATTTGTTTTTAGAAACTATACTATGTATCTCCAGTATGCTGTTCTTTTAGCTTAAATCATTATCTAGTATACATGCTTAAAAAAGAATGAATGAAAAACCAACCTGCAATATTTAAAGGGTGGAACTTGACTCCCCCGAAAGTATAGAAACCAAGAACTGTCTGTATAACAGATTTACAGTGTCCAACCATACTCGTGGTGAGCGCACTGCACACTGCCGCGCAAAGGAACTGGGAGTAGGTCAACACACTTCCACTCACTTAAACAAAAGCAAGATAAAGCAGAAAACAATGGAATGCATGTCGTCTCTGTTCTTCCTTTTAACTAAATGTCCCAAATGATTCTGTAATTTGGATTGTTGTAACTGATATATGTAACATTTAATTTATCAAATTACAAAATCAATGACATTTAATAATTGAAATAAAAAGACTTCCACATAAAGGTGGTTCCTTAGTGTGGATTACTCTAATTGAGACTAAAAACTATTAAAAAAAAATTGAGAAAATCTATTGAAAAATCAAAAAAATTCTGGCAAAAGTATAAAATTTTAATTGCGTTGATAAAGAAAGTTCAGTAATATACAGAATCATAAAGTTGTTGTGAATTAAACATAGAAGGATTTGGTTAGATTAATATTTTGATAATAAACCCGAGTACTGCTTACTGCTTACCTACTAATAATAGAAAAACATAATAGAATGATGCAACCTCATGCAATAAACTGTTTGCAACCTAAACATTAAATACATTTTAGAGATTAAATCCAAACCGATCCGATCCGATCCGATCCGATCCGATCCGATCCAATCCAATCCAATCCAATCCAATCCAATCCAATCCAATCCAATCCAATCCAATCCAATCCAATCCAATCCAATCCAATCCAATCTAATCCAATCCAATCCAATCCGATCCGATCCGATCCAATCCAATCCAATCCGATTCCATCCATTGTCCGATCCAGTGGTGCTTAGAAAGTTGGGATCCATCGCAGTATGCAAATCCGGATAATGATAAAGAATATTAACTTTTTTTGCAAGTTTTGCTATTTTTTTCACAAAGAGCAAGTTCCCAAAATTTTTATCTTTTGTATTCGCAATTTACTAGTAAAAATTTGATTTACTCTTTCAGGTATAGTAGTGTTTTAGTCATGTCATACTTAAACTTTATGATCCATTACACCTGAATTAAAGTATTTATAATTTAATATCAAATCTCAAACCAATCCATTACTAAAAAAACCAAGCCATGAATGGAAATACTTCAAAAACATCATCGAAAACCTATTTCTCTCCAAACTGTATTACCTTACTCGGTTCCCCTAGAACTAGAGCCATAGTTAAGAAGACGGGGAGGGTGTTGTATGCGTTGATGTAGATCATCTCCAGCGTATTCTTGTGGTTAAACTCGGAGCTCTTCTGTACCAACGTCAAGTAGGACGCCTGAAACAATATACCAGGTATCAAGGGAACCAGGCATGGTTAAGGTCACAACTATTAGTTATCTCTGACAAGTTATTTTTGGCCAGAATTTGAAATATTCTGCTTTTAAATTTAAGAATGAAGAATGATATATGATAAAATATGAAGATGTAAAGATTGTTCCTGTACCTGTGCAAAGACGGATAAAGCTCCCATAGAGTAAGCATACTGATCAAACTGTAGATCTCCTAGAGCAGCTAGCACTGCTCCCAGAGTAATTATTCCTATAGATGAGCTGAGGAGGGCCGAGGGACGAGGTTTCTTGAGCAAGGTGACTGACAGGATGAGACTGACCAGCGGGCAGCACCGTTTCATAGCTCCGTACATAGGAATATTCATGCCATGAAGGGCTATCAGGGAGAGTGTAGAGTGTAAAGCAAAGGTTAGACTGGCAGGGAGGAATTCTATTCCGTCCTGTAAACTGAACCAATGCATTTTCAGAAATCCTTAATTAAACACCACTTTTAGTTTAGAGACAAAAACACAGGACACAGTCCTGGGCTTTATGTCTGGTCGGGATTTAAAATCATCACTAAAAAAATATTTTTCCAAAATTTTTGAAATTCCACAAAAATCTTAAATTTTTCATTTGAATTTATTCCAATGTACAAAGCAATTTTACTTTTTAGTTTAAGAAAAAATAATAAAGTCATAAACTATCATGATCTTAGTGCCCTTAAATAGAATCTATAAAAGTTAGGCCAAATGTAATAAATTAATGTATTCTATCTAAATAAAGAACTGATAATAATTTGACTTGATAGTTTAAAATTGAATAAAAAGTAGGATTTTCTATCGGAATTTCGTTGCGCGGAATTTTTCTGAGTTTACAGAGCTGAAAACTTTAGAATGGTGGATATCAGGATTAAGGCTTAAACCACTCTTTTTCTTAATATCCAGTTTAAATATTGCTTGTTCTCCACATGAATTTAAACTCCAGAGAAGCAAAATGATCTGACAATTGGATATTTCATTCTAAAGTTTTCAGCTCAGAGCTGAAAACTTTTGTGTTGGATATCCAGAGAAAGAGTTTCTTAAATTAATATCCAGATTAAATATTGCTTGTTCTCCACATGAATTTAAACTCCAGATTAATTATTCGACGGGATATCTGGATATTTCATTCTAAAGTTTTCAGCTCAGGACTCTCAATTACGCGCAAGTGAAATCCACTTGCGTTGTAAACCCTCAAAAAAGTCGTGAAATAAAAAATATAATAATCTCACCTGATATCCGTAGAGAATCCAAAAGAATTATTGTAAACACCATCTGACAAGCCATTATCGTGAAGGGATAGTTAAACTCATAGCTGGATACAATCTAAACCAAGGATATTTAAACTCATAGCTGCATACAATCTAAACCAAGGATATTTAAACTCATAGCTGGATACAATCTAAACCAAGGATATTTAAACTCATAGCTGCATACAATCTAAACCAAGGATATTTAAACTCATAGCTGGATACAATCTAAACCAAGGATATTTCAACTCATAGATGGATACAATTTATAAATAAATAAATAAAATGGTCAACCATCATCCCATGGGAGTCAGGGTTAAGCTCTCATCAAACCGTACCACCATATTGGTTGGTTAAACCATAAACTCATAAACTAAAACTAAATTTAAACTCAACGAAAACGAATATTTCATGTTGAAACTTGAATAGGCTTTCAGTGGGAAAACAGGATAGGCTATTAGAATATAGTTTGCACAAGTGACTGATTAAGAAACACATAAAATTATTATAAAATGAATAAAAAATATAATAAACAGGCAATTGGCAAAGAAATGACATGTAGAGTGTTGAATACAAAATACAATGTAAAGTGTACATTTAAGCAAAGAATATATTTCCAAAAACACGTATTTGAACTTAATATGTGAAAATGTACTTTACTTTCCTTTACTTAAATTATCTATGTCATATTTTTGTCAAATGTCATATTTCTTCACAATTTATGAAAAAAGATTTAAATTAAACAGGGGAAATATATGTTTTTCATAGGAAACGTATAAATAAGGTAAAAAAGCTGGAAGTCCCATTTTTAATTTTTGGACAAATCGTGTAAAAAAATTCCACCTTTTGGGCTTCTTGGACTGGAAATTTTAATTCTTAAAAAAGCTTGTCTGGAAACAGGGGCGTACGAGAGCAACAATTTTGTGTGCCCCCCCCCTTGGCAACATGGTGCCCCTCCTTAAAATAAATTATTTATATAATTAAGTGGACTCATAAGACACTTCCTCTTAATACTGTGTTGTAAGCTTCAATGGGTGAAAAAAAGATGGAAACGTTTCTTAAAAATATCTATATTTTCAAATTCATAATTATAAATAATGATATCAAAGATATATTTACAGTGAATGAAGTATTGATTACAGCTTTTTTAATGAAACTTTTCTAGGTAAGGGCAAAAGTGAGATTTTAAAGTATTTTAAAGTCCCTCGTACGTACGCCCATGACTGGAGATGAAAGAATTCACTCCGAATAGAATTACATAAAGTTACAGGAAAATCTGGTTTGACAGAAGATTTTCTGCATCCTCAGCAAAGTTTGCTACAGTAAAAGTTTTATTCTAATTTAACTGCTTTTTTGATAGAGAAAATATTTAGTCTGATTCATTCAATCTAATGGCTGTCAATGGTGATGCATGAAGTTTTAACTCTTTAAATGCACGTAACAAAATATACAAAAAAAATGGAACAAATTGTACTTCATGCCTTATTATACTGTACTGTGCTGTACAGTACAGTACAGTTCAGTGCGGTACAGAAAAGTAAAGTAAAGTATTGTACTTACCGCTTTATTAAGAAAGTTCATGGATATGCTGCAGATGAAGTAGAAGAAAGCGACCGAGAGCACCTAGACCAATAAAATCATTACTTTTTGAAATACACAAGATCAAAAAGTTTTGATATTACATCGTTTTAAACAAAATAAAAGATAAAAAATGTACCAAAAATTTCTAAACCTCTTGACTAGTAAGATTAAGTTAGTTTTAAAGAAAGCCTTATTTTTGAACTGATTTTATCAAAAAAATAACTTTGACTAATTATATTTAATTTTATGATAATTGCAGCATACCTTAGAATTAGGTAAAACCTTGTCTTTGTCTTGCCTCGACATTTTTAATCCTTAACATAAATAAAAATATAGAGCCTTTAGAAAAACTTGCATTAACATAAAAATGCATTTATGTTTCGCATCTATATATATATATATAACTAAAAATCAATCATCAGAGCATGCTTCTCAGTTTTCATATTTATAAATACAAATTGTTTCGGATTGCTCCTCTTCAGTTAATTAACATAATATACATAAGTAATATAATACATCATATAAATATAAGTAGTAATTTCTATTTGTTTGTTTGTATGTCTATTGTCCGATCATAACTCAGGAACCCGAGTTTCCTCAAAATATGTTGGGGTAACTTGGTAGAACACAGCAATATTCTGAGTTTGATTTAAAATATGTTGGGGTAACTTGGTAGAACACAGCAATATTCTGAGTTTGATTTAAAATATGTTGGGGTAACTTGGAAGAACACAGCAATATTCTGAGTTTGATTTAAAATATGTTGGGGTAACTTGGTAGAACACAGCAATATTCTGAGTTTGATTTAAAATATGTTGGGGTAACTTGGTAGAACACAGCAATATTCTGAGTTTGATTTCAAATTTTAGGTTGAGTGGCTTTACTTTTGAGTATGTTTAGTTTGCCGGCAAAGCTAAGTTAACGAGCTAGTAATGTAGGAACCGCAACAACGTAGGGGGAGGGGGCAAAATATTAAATGGTTGATATTCTATTGTTTTTTTATCGTTATTTTCCTAGAATTTATTTAATGAAATAAAACGTATTATATCATATCTGTTCGGTTCCATAGTAGTAAACCTATCGTGTAAGAATTCCCATTATTACACGGTTCAGGAGGAACAATTTTAATATTGTTCCCTTCCTAGCGTTTAAGAATGCTTATTCTTACACTGTAGGTGCAGAAATTTCATTCTTTAACGCCAGACCGTGTAAGAATGGAAATTATTACACGGTCAGAGCGTGAAAGAATGTATATTCTCACACGCTCCGAGCATTAAAGAATGGAAATTATTACACTTCTTAAGGAATATTCATTCTTACACGCTTCTTATATTGATCTTTTCAAATTGGTCTTAACTTAATTATTTTGTACTGACAACATGCTCAGGACAAACTCACCTTTTTCTTTTATATTAATACATGCAGACTTACCTTTTTATACTTTAAAATAACATGCTCACTTACCTTTTTCTTTAATGTTAAAACTTACCTTTTTTACTTTAGTAAAACATGCTCACTTACCTTTTCATGCTCACTTTCCTTTTTCGTTTTTTGAAGTATTGATATATCTTTATTCAGGAATTTCTATTTAAATCTTAACCTTAGTCCTGACAGAAGAGTGGAACCCCCTGTGTTTAATTAACATTTTCTAACCTTTCTAAAAAATATAAACCATGTACTTAAAGCCTTCCATTGGACAATTTCATCAAACTACCGAGTCTCAAAGGATACTGCCCGACTGCCTACTTTATTCAATTTGTTTTTGGTTTTTCTTCATTGCAAACAAAGTTTGGTGGGATTTTGCAAATCCCTGCATATTTGTAATAGAATGGTTAGAGCTTTTCAAAAATGGAAAGGTTTGTCATGTCTTCACAATTTCAATTATTTTTTTTTCACTTTATAAAGTTTTAAAGTACCTCAGCCTGAGTCAGAGATGATGAAGTGAAACCACAAACAAAACCAAAAATTTTAGTTTATAAAACGTATCATTGAAATACTATTGTCACAACCTTTAGTGGGGTCTTAGAACTCCATACTCCATAGCAATGAAAACAAACCAGTAAATCTTGCTTAATGAATAAAAGACAAATATCTTAGATCAGTTCATGTCGAACTGATTCTTACTAGATAACCTGATTTATCTCCTCTTTTTGGAAGATTTAGGATCTAATATCCAGGAAATGATTTCTTTTGTAAATGATTTCACGATTTTGTTCAGGAGATTAAGACAACCCACTACAATACCTTCTCCCCATCTAAAAAATACTCAGGGCACATTCAACATGCTGTATCTAAATGTAGTATTTACTTGACAAACAAGCAAATTCATTATATATTGGTAAACAAAAAAACTAAACTATGGAAACAATCACACCACATGCATTACTTTCAAATTAAGAACCAATTTTTACATATTAAATGGCTTTAAACATTTTAACATTAGAAAAATAAAAAAACAGTGTTAGTCAGAACAAGAGCATAGAACTTATTTGCAACCTTTCATAATGTGATCTGTTCCAACTTGAAATAGTTGGATTTCACCAGAATTATTTTTTACTATAATTTCTTGGGTATGCGCCCATGGAACCTCACAAATATGATATAATACTATTCTTATGAGGATAAAAATGTAATAATGGTATTCTTAAACTCGATGAAATAATCTTGATGCATTCTTTAACTCAGGCCTGCGGCCTTCGTTAAAGAATACATCAAGATTATTTCATCTCGTTTAAGAATTTCCATTATTACATTTTTTTCCTCATAAGATTTTCATATTACGTCCCAAAGCTTTGATAATAATAATGATCATAAAGAGGCAAAATGCGTGAAAATTTTAAGGAAGCTAGCTATTGAAAAGTTTAAAAAACAAAAAGTTAAAATTATTAAAAAAACATTACCTCACAGCAAAATCACAGCTTGAATAAATATGTTAAGATGTCTCCGAGTGCCAGTTAACTTTGTTCCAAGATCTAGGCCTGGCCCAGAGATTTTAAGGAACCCAAGTTTACTCTGCCCCCAGATTTAGGCAAAACTCGGAGAATTCAAGATGGCTCCGGTGCAAAATTAACTCTGCTTCCAGATGTAGACCGGACCTGGAGATGTCAGGATGTCTCCAAACCCAAGTTAAGCCTGCTCATGGTCCACATTTCTACATATTTCTGTAATTGAAAGGATCTAAACTCACTGTAAATTGTAAATTGGCGTAAACATAGTCAAGTAGTAAACCAATAATATTCTAAGTGGTATATGTCTGGACTCCTAGGATTGGAAAACTCAATTAAAATGCTGTTTATGAATGTAAACCAATACTGTCGGTACTTCAAGGGCAATATATTTCGAGCCAATTTAAACCTGACTGAAAATAATACGTAAAATTTAACTGCAGCTGTTTTAACAGGTGTATACATGGTCACACACTACAGGGATATATTCATATGTTTAACTGATCGTCAACTTGGTAAACAATAATTGGAGAGATGAATCAGATCTTGTTGGGATATCTTTGTGTAAAAATGTATTTGGCACATTCAGCTTACGTTTGAATCCTAAGTCGTTAACTCAATAAGAATTATCAAATGGAAAATTTCAGGAAGCATTGAGTATAAGGAAAATAAAAAGAAAAGGCAAAATATCTATAAAAATATCAAGAAAAATATCTGAATATAAAAAAATATCAAGGAAAATATTAAAACGATCAAGTATAATATCAGGGGAAAAAAGGATTGTAATTTGTTAGGGAAACAATCAAGAGGACGAAAAATTGAAACACAATGTGGGAAAAATATCACAGAGAACAGTTGGGATTCAACGGAAAAATTTCAATAATTGTGACGAAAATATTTAATTAAGTTATTATTCACGGAGTTTGTTGTCCAGCAACGGGAACAGCTTGTCCTTGTCCTGGCTGTGGTTGTGCTTGTCCTGGCTGAGGTTGTCCTTGTCCGGACAGGGGTTGTCCCGGCTGAGGTTGTCCTTGTCCTGGCTGGGGTTGTCCTTGTCCTGGCTGGGGTTGTCCTTGTCCTGGCTGGGGTTGTCCTGCAAATTGTTGTTGCCCTAGTCCAGGTTGAGGTTGCCCTGCTTGTCCTGCTCCTGGTTGAGGTTGTGCTACAAATTGTTGTTGTTGTCCTGGCTGGAATTGTACCTGAGAAGGCTGTGCAAACTGCTGTGGTTGGCCTTGTTGTTGTCCAGCGAACTGTTGCTGTTGTCCTCCAAACTGTTGTTGTGGTGGATATTGTTGTTGTCCTTGATATAGCTGTTGTGGCGGATACTGTTGTTGTCCTTGGAACTGTTGTTGTCCCTGGAACTGTTGTTGCAGATACTGTTGTTGTGGAGGAGGTTGTCCAGGAACAAACTGTGGATGCGCAGGCTGGCCAGGAACACTACCATGCATCGGGATTCCGTTCCGATCAACCCCGGGCATAGGACCGCCGGGCAAAGGTGGGTATCCAAACCCAGGATTGTATCCAGGAGGGGGCATACCGGGGATATTTGGATAAGCATAGTTAGGGGGCATTTGTCCAGATTCAATCATTCTCCTAGTAAACAAAAAGCAACAAATAATTGTAAGAATTTCTAGTAAGAGAGAGAGGCAGGTTTGGGGAGAAGGAGGGGGGGACAAAATGTTATATTTCAGCTTAAAACTTTTGTCAAACATTAAAAAGTTTATTAAGGTTTTAACTAAATAACATGAAATTATTGGAAAATTAATCTTACTTTATCTGCTCTTCCCGTTCTGATTCAAATCTCTGGAACTCTTCATCAGTATAGAGTTCAGCATCATCTACTGTATCCCAGCCAGGATCCTTATAAAGGAGGAGTTAGTATAAAAACTTGCTCTTACTATTACTTAAATTGTAACTTTTGGGCTAAAATCAAGGTTTAGAACTTATTACTACTGAAGTGTGGTGGTGGGGATTAAAATAATTATCAGGAATGTTAGTTATTGCAATCCATAAAATATGGACCAGATCATGCAGAATCAAATTAAGAAACAATATTTTAAGCATTTTTAACAAAAACTAGTATTTTTTATTATTATTACATATTTATTTAGACTGAAAAATAAATTATACCTTCTCAAATTCGTCCCTCTCCGTCTCTGCTAGAAACTCTTGGTAGGAAATCATCCTGTTCTTATCCTTGTCAGACTCTCTAGAACAAAATACGTTGATAAATCAGACCTAATATCTATCAAATAGACCTAATATTAATAAATTTGACCTTAGATTATTAGATCAGACAAAAGATCAACCAAGATCAATCGTTCAGACCTAAGATCAATTTATCACAAAATTCTTTAAATCTTCAACTTGAACCACAAACCCAAATATAAATCAATCACTCAAAATCCGGAAATCTATCAATCGATATAAATTACAGATTATTCCAGATGTCCAGTCGTAACAACTTTTATTTAAAAATAAAAATAAAAATGTACAAAAAGCTAGATCGGCAAAACATGACTTGATTTCTCCCCCCCCCCTCCTCCTTTTCCGACATGCTTTTTAAAAACAAACAAAATCAGATTGAATATTCCAGATCATTTGTCCATCTCGACTGTAATTGTCCGCACTTGTTAGTTTTATATCCGTCAAAAAAAATTATTAATAAAAATTGTTTCTTTAGACAAGTGCTTAAATCCATATTTTCCGAATGTACGCCCTGTAAAATAATCCAGATAAATATGTGTTTTAGTTTTACTAACACCTAAAGAGAAATTCCCGAGTTTCTTTATTTTTTCTCGATACTTTTATGCTGACTCTTGATTGACCTTTCAGATGAGGAAGGTTTTACAAATCTCTCGTTAATCAACAATTAGATGTGCGAGTGGAGCAAATTTTTTAAAAAATATTTCATCACTTGAATCTTGAAAAGGAAGTCAAAATACTGGTATCCTCGTAACCTAACCAATGCTTTAAAGACTTTATCTTACTTGAAAACATGTTCTCTCATCCTCTCCATCTCCTCCTCCCTCTCTTTCATGTCGTCCTCGGGGTTGTTGGGATCGTAGGCTTTATCCAGCTCCTTCCTGAAGAGTATTCGAACCTCGTTCTCATCCCACTCACCGTTCCCATCCAGATCATGCATAGCGAAGAAGGTTTTGGGATCCCAGTCCTTACGGAAGATAAATTTTATCAGTAAGACTTCACTAGAGATTTGATTCAACTTTGAAAACCAGAGGATTAAATGTTGTTATCTAGGGAAAAATTAATATTTCTTTTCTCAGCTTTTCTTTCCTTAACCATAGTTCTTTTCCAATCCTAACCATAATTATTTTACTTTTCTTGACCATAGTTCTTTTCCTTTCCTTAACCATAGTACTTTCCCCTTTCTGAACAATAGTTCTTTTTCTTTCCTTAATCATAGTTCTTTAACTTTCCCAAACCTAACCATAGTTCTTTTACTTTCTTTAACCACAATTATTTTATTTCTCTTAACCATAGTTCTTTTCCTTTTCTTAACTATAGTTCTTTCCCTTTTCTTAACCATTGTTATTTTCCTTTCTTTAACTATAGTACTTTCCCTTTTCTAACCATAGTTCTTTTCCTTTCCCTAACCATAGTTCTTTACCTTTCCCTAACCTAACAGTTGTTCTTTTCCTTTCCTTAATCATGATTATTTTCCTTTCCTTAACCATAGTTCTTTCCCTTTTCTTAACCATAGTTCTTTTCCTTTCCTTAATTATAGTACTTTCCCTTTTCTTACCATAGTTCTTTTCCTTTCCTTAACCATAGTTCTTTACCTTTCCCTATCCTAACCATAGTTCTTTTCCTTTCCTTAACCGTAGTACTTTTCCTTTTCTTACCAAAGTTCTTTTTCTTTCCTTAACCATAGTTCTTTTCTTTTCCTAAACCATAGTTTTTTTCCTTTCCCTTTCCATAACTATAGTTATTTTCCAATCATTAAAAATAGTTATTTTCCTTTCTTTAACCATGGTTCTTTCCCTTTCCTTAATCATAGTTATTAGTTATTTTCGTTCCTTTAACCATGGTTCTTTCCCTTTCCTTAACCATAGTTATTTTCCTAACTTAACTAATTCTGCTTTAATAGTAAAATAAACTTCACAAAATAGTTTAAGGAAACTAAGGCAAATGTATATGTTGACCGATGTCGGTCTGGGCTCTCCAAGATGGGTGAGTTTTCAGATCTTTTCCTTATCTGATCTTATTGAACCGACCTTAGGATCCATATGATCTTGTTCCTCCCAGACCTCCTCTAGCTGATCCTTGGTCATAGGATGGTTTATCTTGTCGTGCACCCTGTGTTTAGCTTCCATCTTCTCCATCTCCTCCTGCACAACCTTCCTCTCCTACAAACAATATAGTATTAAAGTCAGAGCCTGAAGTTCCTGAACCTGACTCCGACGAAATTTTTTCTGGTCTTTGATGACGTAATTGCATCTAATTCTTAACACAGATACATCAGATAGAAAATGTGAAGTGATATGAAGATTAAAAAACTATTTAAAATAAAAATGCGCTAAATTTTATGTAAACTTTTAAAAATAAATTAATTTTATTAGTTTTAAGCACTTTCGATTTTATTTGTTAAGAATTAATACTTTTTAAGGACTAACATTAACGTTTTATGGATGAACTAACCATGGGTACTAAACCAGGATGAACTAATCATGGGTACTAAACCTGGATGAACTAACCATGGTACTAAACTAGGATGAACTAACCGTGGGTATTAAACCTGGAGGAACTAACCCTGGGTATTAAACCTGGATTAACTAACCATGGGTACTAAACCTGGATGAACTAACCATGGGTACTAAACCTGGATGAACTAACCATGGGTACAGCTAGCAACCAAAAACCAAATTGCGGCAACGATACGCAACAGCCAGTCAACGTAGACAACAATACGCTAAATAGTACGAGGAATTAACAAACTAGTTCTCTTGCAGGACTAGGCGGGCTGGGGTAACAGCCTGGGCTGCATGATTGTATTTTTCTATAAAACTTGTATTATAATTGTATTTTCAATAATATGTGTTTTGTAGTTGTATTTCTCAATAATATTTGTATTGTAGTTGTATTTTTCTGTAATACTTGTATTATAATTGTATTTTTCAATAATATTTGTATTGTAGTTGTATTTTTATATAATACTGGGCTGCATGACGACCTAACCGACATGTGGCCTGACCCAGGTCGTATTTACCAGTATACGATCCTAACAGGCCCCCTACCCTGAGGCTAACATCTCATTATCTAATGGGGGTGCTGGCGGGTCGGGTAGCTCGTTTTACTTCTAAGCTCGCTTAGATGACAAATGGGACCCTTCGGAATAAATAAATAAATGGATCAACTCCTGAGACTGTTGGAATTTGACTGAATATAAAGCAAGATTAGCGATTTCTAAACAGATGATTTCAGGAATGAATGAGATATAAAATTTTGTTTAAAAAATATTTTGTAAACTACACAGTACACATTGATTAGCCAACTACATCTTTTATCTGTCTATTTGAGGGGAAAATTGTGGAATTATGAACATCTGCGTAACGTTAGACGATGTTCAAATGTATTATCAAAAATGTAACTCTAAGTTCACTCAAGGGATGAGATTCTTCTAGACGACTGTTCATATCTCATTACTTAATTTCCTCGTTTGCTGCAACTGCAAATTGCTATCCTTTCAAATTTGTTTGATCCATTAATTAAAAGTATTTAAGATTATACTTACTGCGTCATTCAAGTTTCATCCTTTGGAGTTTTTTTTCTTCCAAAAGTATATACCTGAGTATCATTTATTGCATTTAATCTCATTTCCTTCTCAAACTTCTTCTCCATCTCATATTTCTTAAATTCTTCCCTTCTCTGCTTATCTGCCTCCTAATAATGCAAAGTTAAGATCTTTTTAAAACTGGTAACTAAGGTTTGGACAAAACTGAAATAAACTTGGATAAGAAAGATAGGATCTTATAGAGCCCAGACCACCAGTGCAGCGGCCGTCTAACACTTATTACTATTAGCTCACAGTTCGGATGATTAACGAATTCGGAAATATTATGAAATACTGGAACTGCGGGGTTTTCATATTAGAGCTGGCAATATATCAACATATGCGAATCATTATAGAGCACTAATCAAAATCAAGTTTAGTTAAGAACCCACATTAAGATCGCAAAGTCTAACTTAATTACATACACTAAACGAAGCTTTATATCAACAGAAACAAAAAATATATAAAAACACTTGTGTTAGACAGGTGGCATTTTAATTAAATAAACATGTTAAATGTTGAAAAGTTTTAATGAAAGGAAGATTGTTAAAAATACAAACCTCTAAATCATTCGTGGTCTGTTTGATCAGCTTCTGGAGATCCGCAACCTCGAAGGAGTTGTGTTTAACCTCAATATGTTGCGGGATCTTGATATGCTTCCTATCGAGGCCCTGGTTCAACTCTATCTGTCTCTGCGCCAGGTGTCTCAACCTCTCCATCTCCTGCCTCTTTACCTCGTCCAGCTTGGTTCGGATCCCGTGGCTGAGAAACTCAAGCTCCTTGGCTATTGTTCCATCACGGATTTCATCAACCTGGAATTAATTGAGTTTTTTTCTAGGAAAATGTTTCTTACAGTGGGAACCGCAAAGCTGTTGAATAGGTAGAACCAATTAGGCAATTTATGTGTATTTATTGTTGTTATAAAGCAAATACTTTTACCCGTAACCAAACTCAACTAATCAAGTCGTCTTCCTATTACACAGTTTAAGAATTTTGCATTTATCCCTTAGCATGGTGTTAATGTTAATAAAAACAAAAAAATTGTATTTTTCCCATAACCAAATAGATTATCAAGTACAATAGATGGCAACGTAGAATTTGTACACTCAGTACAGCTGTATTCTTACGTCACAAATGTCAACAGTTTTATGTGTCCGACAAAATTATTATTAGCTAGCTGAAGGACCCAGCATTGCCAGAAATAGAAAAAATAAATGAAAAAAAAATGTTGAAAGAAATTTTGAAGAAAAAAAATCGTTTTTTTAGCCTTTAGCACCCGCCACCCACCCATGAGTGTCATCAAAAAAATTCAGTCCATTCGGTCCAGCCGTTTGGCTGGCTATAAACAACATATCTATGAATGTCTTGTTTTATTGCATAGATTGTGATAATAAAGTGCTAATCTCACAGTGAAATAAGTGCAAATTGGGTTCTTTTTTTCTATCTATAAACTTTTTTATTCAATCTTGAAAAAAATGTCAACCACTGGGGGAAAATGTTGTTTTCCTTGTTATATTTGACACTTATGATGTCATGAATAATTGGCCTATTTCTCTGTTGCCACCTATTGTACTTTATAATCTATTTCAAAAAAAAATTCCAATTTTTCCATATATTGATGGCTTTAATGAATGACCTTATTTACCTTAGCAGTTTCTAGTTTCTTTCTAAAGTCTGGATCTGCTTCTAGTATCTGAACAACCTCCCGGAGATACTTGTTGTACTCTAGACCAAGGTTCCAGTCCTCCAGGGTCTCATTCTGCTGTGGGCCTAGACAACAAGGGTTGGACCATAAATATCAATAACTAACTAGCTGAAGTTCCAGTCGTTGCCCGTGGAATTTTAAAATCATTATAGGGGAATTTTTTTTTTCTCTCGAAATTTCGAATTTTAAAAATAGTTGTTCGAATTTTTTAACCCAATTGTGTCATTTCTATTTTTGGTTTTCCTAAAACAAATTCAGGATAATTTAGAAATGATTAATATACCAATAATAAACCATTCTTGAAAATGGTCACCCATTTAAAAATTACCTTTGGCTGTTTTATCAACAGGTGGTCCCAGTATACAAGGTATACAGAACAACAAGAGAATATAAATCATTTTAAATATGACTTCATAAATCTGAAATTATTTAGATAAATTAGTTCTTTCATTAGAAAGTTGTTTGTCTGCTTCATCCGATGAAAGCGGGGGACGAGGCAGGTATCCGTTTTTCTCCGCCCATAATCTCAATTCAATTATAGTTCTTCTTAACCAGGTGCTATCCTCATCAGATTCCTTCCACTCGACCTTCTTCTCATCAATAATCTCTCGTCTTAGATCTTTAGCCGCCGCCTCCTCCCCCTTGGCGGCAATAATGTTCCTTGAATGGAGGAACTCTCTTTTCCATCGTTCCTCTACCGTTTCCCCTGTTAAGTATTGAGCTAACCAAAAACAGATTCCTGCTGGAAGGCCTAGTACACCACCGAGGAATCCCCCGCCAATCATACCTAGATATTGGATAATGGATGATGGATACATGAAAAGCAGAATAAATAAGCTAATTTGTTTTATCTTTAAGACTTCCAGAACTTGGGACTTCAGCAAGATATTACAGGTAGAGACTATAAACAGGGACTACAGAGAGATATTTAAGGTAGGGAATAAAGTCACGGACTACAGCGACTACAGCAGGATATTACAGATAGAGAATAAAGACAGAAACTACACCAGGATATTACAGATTGAGAAAAAAGATAGGGACTACAGCAAAAAGTTATAGATAGGTTATAAAGACAGGGACTACAGCAAGAAATTATAAATAAGGAATAAAGGGACTAAGAAAGATATTACAGATAGAGAATAAAGACAGGGAGTACAATAAGATATTACAGATAGAGAATAAAGACAGGGACTAAAGCAAGAAATTATAGATAGGGAATAAAGACAGGGACTACGGCAACAAATTATAAATAGGGAATAAAGACAGGGACTACAGCAAGAAATTATAGATAAGAAATAAAGACAGGGACTACAGCAAGAAATTATAGATAAGGAATAAAGACAGGGACTACAGAACGATATATAAGGTAAGGGAAGTCAGGGAGTAAAGCAATATATTTCAGATAGAGATTTAAAAACAGGGAGTACAGTAAGATATTACAGATAGAGAATAAAGACAGGGACTATAGTAAGATATCACAGATAGAGAATAAAGAAAAGGACTATAGTAAGATATACAGATAAGAGAATAAGACAGGGACTACAGTAAGATATACAGATAGAGAATAAGGACAGGGACTACAGTAAGATATCACGGATAGAGAATAAAGACAGGGACTACAGTAAGATAAACAGATAGAGAATAAAGACAGGGACTACAGTAAGATAAACAGATAGAGAATGAAGACAGGGACTACAGTAAGATATACAGATAGAGAATAAAGACAGGGAGTACAGTAAGATATACAGATAGAGAATAAAGACAGGGACTACAGTAAGATATCACGGATAAAGAATGAAGACAGGGACTACAGTAAGATATCACGGATAGAGAACAAAGACAGGGACTACAGTAAGATATACAGATAAGAGAATAAAGACAGGGACTACAGTAAGATATCACGGATAAAGAATAAAGACAGGGACTAAAGTAAGATATCACGGATAGAGAACAAAGACAGGGACTACAGTAAGATATCACGGATAGAGAATAAAGACAGGGACTACAGTAAGATAAACAGATAGATAATAAAGATTATAGATTATTATAAAGATATATTACATTGAAGCGACTAAAGGAAGAATTTAGAGCCAAGCATTACGGAAAGATATTACAGAGAGGGACAATAGAAAGATATGATAGACAGGGACTTTAATAAATATTACAGACATGAATTACAGAAATTTATTACAGAATGGCACAGAAAGACAAGAACTTTAGAGAATAAATCGGACAGGGACTTCAAATTTAGATTACAAAAAAAATAAAAGCACCAAGTTTGGTAACTTTCTAACATAATCAGTCATCTGTATGATTTTAAAAATGATAGAAATTAAGAACTTTAATCAAAAAATCCTTTTTTGGACTTTATTAGACTGATAAAATTACCTTTAGGTCCCATATTAAATCTATAAACTGCTCCCATAACTGCTCCTGCCACAACATGATCTAAAGGGTTTACGTAATTCCGTATACAAGCCATACTCTGAGCTACTCCACTATACAGGAAACACAGGATACTCAGCTTAGAACCATATTTAACAAAACCCTGAATATATATTCACAAATGTTGTCGAATAAAAGATCTTTTTATTCAAATTAGAAATAAAATCAGTAAAATAAAAGTTTTTATATATTCTGTAATTAAATTTGCCTTGTTTTTCGAACAAGCGAAAAAACGGCCGAAACATCTAGTGATCCCAAAAAGGTCTATGGCCGGTTGTTTTGAAAAAATAAGCCTTTAAAAATTACGGTTTTGAATTTTGGATACAATAAAGTACAACAATTAAATCAGAAAAAAATCCGAAACTATGAGAAAGAAGAAAAAATGATTGTTGATAAAGGATCATTTTAAAAAAATCTTTGAAAAGCCCTGGAATATAGTTACATTTTAAAAAGTTAGTTTAAATTACTTTCAATATTTAACATCTGCAAAAACAAGTTCAACTCTTACCTTAATATATGCTATATGTGCTCTGTCCTGCAGTGCTAGCTGAGCTTCTTTAGGATGTTTAAACATTTCATATTTATTTTTTTCTAGAAAGTTCATTGTCGCCACTCTACTTTCCGCATAAACTCCGTATATACCTCCTAGAAACAAGGCTCCCAGCGTGGATTGATAAACCTGGTCGAGTTCAGGGGAGAAAGTGTCGTATTCATCTCGTCTCCACATTAAACTGTATCAAATATAAAGATAGATAGATATAAAAATATTCCAGGGGTTTTTCACAAAGATAATTTTGGAAAAAAAATTTCTAATTAATTTTAGTATTTTTTAGATATTCAATCCAACATGTTCAAAAATTAAGATTTTACAGAATACAATTTTTCTTGTTGGAAAAAATAGACAAAAAAATTCTTGAAAAAATCCTCACTGAGGAAAAGTAGTCAGGTTAAAATATTTAGAGAATATATGCCCCCAAAACTATGATCCAACTAACATGATAGTTGCTTAAATAAACAGGATAAAAATATAATTAAAATAATGAAAACTCAATGATAACCAATTTTTCGTGAAAAGTTTTTTCAAAATCATGAGGGACTTAAACGGTCTGCAATCTGCATAGATAATTTCTCTCTTAAAAAATAATTTCATTATAATTATATTATTGTGTAACAAATTCGAGAACGCATTTAGCATCAGATGAATGACATTTGCCTCATTTCAGTTTAGAAACGTAATAATTTTCCCATTTAGTTATAAAAACATTTAACAATACGTTAACGGTGCATTTAAACAAAAAGTCACCTTAATCTTTCCTTCCATGTGTAGGATTCTCTATCAGAATACATTTGAGAAAACAATTCATATTCTTTATCCCGATTTACTATATCAACATCGGACGCTTCCCCTCTCAGCACTGTATTAGAATCATCTGTCCCGGAGAGAAATGATATTCCGATGGTAACCGTTCCAATCCCATGTTTCGGTCTCAGCTTGCGTAACATATACATTTGTTCTTCTGTAACAAAAGCTGATATATCAATGTGTAAAATAAGAAAGATCTAAAAAATGCTATTTAATGATGGAAAGATAGTGCGGTAGATATCACATTGTTGGTTTGCTCACATCTAGTGATCACACGGATTCCTTGACTCCGCTTTGTACTTTGTGACCTTCTGAAAAATCAAACAAAACTCAGGAAAGTGTAAGACAACATTATGTATAAGTAGGCAGTCCAAAAGTTCTATATTTGTGCTAGATTTTCTATAATTTAAGTTCAGAGTTTGTTTTGTTAGATTTACTGAACTTTACGTTTGCCATAAGCTCCGTCCATGAATAGTCCAGCAAAGACGAGTCCAACTCCGATCCATTGCCGCGTAATCAAACTATTCCCGAAAAAGAGAACGGAGGCGAGGACAGTGAAGAACTTTCTGGTTGTTGTAACTATTGAGCACGGCAGAGGTCCAAAATCACTAAAAAAAAGTTGATTTTAAATTTTCATAAAAATACACTATTTTGACATTGATTGAATTTGATTTATCAAAATCCTTGATTTTTTTTATAATACTCTGAAAGCTCGTTTTCACGAGACAAAATAACCAATGAACCATTATGTTTTGAAAAACGCAAAAAATAATGCCACAATTTGTTTCATGCCTAAATAGTCAAAAGAATAATTATTAAGTTGTTTGAATATATAAGATTTATGTGTATTGTATACTAGTATTTATTAAGAGTATCTAAATATATGACTCTCTACCTGACACACATGAAGATGAAGAACTGACCAAAAGCGCTGGCAACACAAAATGTCAATATCTAAAAAATTCAATAATTTTATTAAGTGTTTCAATTTTTAACTTTTAAAGGATTTGTTTAAAAAATATATTTTTTATTGAGATTAAACTGTCTAAGTATCCTGCCTGCCAAAGAACTGCAGGATGTCGGCTTACGAATCCAATGAACTCAAAACCTTCTCCAGTTATTCCTTAACAGATGATTTTTTCTTTTTTTTAATGTCATGGTACATGTGGTAATGTGTACATATATTTATGTAATTGTGTTCATGTGTGCACGTGTTCATGGGCTTTTTAAAATTTTTTTATTTTTATTAATGTTTATATTTATGTTTATATTTATGTTTATATTTATGTTTATATTTATGTTTATATTTATGTTTATATTTATGTTTCTATTTTTGTTTATATTTATGTTTATATTTATGTTTATATTTATGTTCCGAGTGTTCATGTGATGTGTTAATAATGAATGATTAAATGATTAAGAATAAATTGTTAGATTGGAAAACTCTTTTTTTTATTTGGCAATTTTCAGCTGAGAGTCTTCTTATTCTTTACCTAGAGCAACTCCAAGGAACAACATCGACCAGAGGTTCATTGCCTTCATCATGTGCCCGGACTTTGTCTGGTATTCACTCTTCATTCTTTCCTGGATAAATAATATTTAGATCATCAGGTATATAGTTTTTTTTTAAGTGGGAGGTGATCGGGAAAAAAACTGAAACAGTAAAAAAAAATTATTTACGGAAAAAGAAAAAATGTTATTTTTTATAAAAATAGATAAAAAATTATTGTTCTAACCTGAATAGCCCCTGTAATACCGTCACAAGCCAGAGAAAGAATTAGCATCATTTCTCCAATACCCAGTCCCATCTCCTCACTGCTGCTCCCCGCCTTGTCCTTGTACATGAACAAGGCGACCCCGGCCACAATAAGGAAGACGAAGAAGTACTTGAGAGGAGGATACGATTTCCGTCCTACAATATTAGAAAGGATAAGATTTCCGTCCTACAATATTAGAAAGGATAAGATTTCCGTCCTACAATATTAGAAAGGATAAGATTTCCGTCCTACAATATTAGAAAGGATAAGATTTCCGTCCTACAATATTAGAAAGGATAAGATTTCCGTCCTACAATATTAGAAAGGATAAGATTTACGTCCTGACACTTTGAGGACCAAAAAAGTTTCAGTTATGTAAACAAATGCACAATGATTGATTCACATATATTTTCTATATGAAACTAGAAAGTAAAGTTTGGTAAATAGTTTTCTGCACACTGGTTAAAATATGTATATTTTCTGTTGAACTGTAACATGTAGTGTAGTATAAAGTCTATTGCACACTGGTTAAAATATGTATATTTTCTATTGATCTGTGTATAACTGTAACATGTAGTGTAGTATAAAGTCTATTGCACACTGGTTCAAATATGCATATTTTCTGTTGAACTGTATATAACTGTAACATGTAGTGTAGTATACACACTGTTTAAAATATGCATATTTTCTGTTGAACTGTGTATAACTGTAACAGTGTAACATGTAGTGTAGTATACAGTCTATTGCACACTGGTTAAAATATGTATATTTTCTGTCGAACTGTGTATAACTGTAACATGTAGTGTAGTATACACACTGGTTAAAATATGTATATTTTCTGTTGAACTGTACATAACTGTAACATTTAGTGTAGTATACAGTCTATCGCACACTGGTTAAAATATGTATATTTTCTGTTGAACTGTGTATAACTGTAACATGTAGTGTAGTATACAGTCTATTGCACACTGGTTAAAATATGTATATTTTCTGCTGAACTGTGTATAACTGTAACATTTAGTGTAGTGCACAGTCTATTGCACACTAGTTAAAATATGAATACTTTCTGTTGAACTGTGTATAACTGTAAAATTTAGTGTAGTACACAGTATATTGCACACTGGTTAAAATATGTATATTTTATGTTGAACTATGTATAATTGTAACATGTAGTGTAGATAGTATACAGTCTATTGCACACTGGTTATTTTATGTTGAACTATGTATAATTGTAACATGTAGTGTAGATAGTATACAGTCTATTGCACACTGGTTAAAATATGTATATTTTCTGTTGAACTGTGTATAACTGTAACATGTAGTTAGTATACAGTCTATTGCACACTGGTTAAAATATGTATATTTTCTGTTGAACTGTATATAACTGTAACATGTAGTTAGTATACAGTCTATTGCACACTGGTTAAAATATGTATATTTTCTGTTGAACTGTATATAACTGTAACGTGTAGCATAGAATTCTACTAGAAGTAAATATATCAGAGTTCTCATGTGTTCAGTTTTATGACACACATTCAGTTTAACGACTGAATCAGCTTGATATAGATCAATCAAAATTTATATCGTAGCAGAGAAAAGAATCCTACAAAAATTATAGGAGTAAATACTTCAAAATATATTGATTAATTTCAAAGATAAAATTGAGGGGGGGGGGACTTACCTAGTATTACACCAAGGATCATGACAGGAATAGGTTTGCAGGATTTACCAATAACCTAAATGTAAAACTATTTTTTAAGATCTAAACATTTTTATTTCTTAAAGTTTTATAATGTCTGGTTAATCACCAATTGTGGTGTTACAGTTTCAGTACGAACATTCTGATAACTTTAATAATACTTTACGACGCGACAATTCATATTATTTCACAGTTTTAATATTCATATTAAAATTCTTAATCTCTATATTGCATTCATTAGGATACGGAAAACAAGATAAAACATAAACCCGACTTTTTTAAACTGCTAATTAGATTTCTTAATATTTTATATATATGTTTCAAATGTTTCGTGGATTTGTTACCTGTGTTGGGTAGTTGACCCACATGAGAGCCTTGTTGCTGGAGACCATGGCGATGAGGTAGGAGAGGGAGCACATGGTGTAGTAGGAGGTCTGTGTTCTATCCTCTCCCTAACATTCCAACCATCCATATTCAATATTCGTAATCAAAATATAATTTTTTATGAACATACTGAACAAAGCATGAACAAAACTTTGAAAATAAAAAATTGGGACTAAAAGCTAAGATTTGCTATCTTATTCATAATTAAACAAAAAGTTCTAGAGATAAATTGAAAAATAAATTAATAAATAAGTTTTTTATCACTTTCGAGTCTTATGAGAAACAAAAATAGTTATTTTTCGGAAAATGATGTTAAACAGAAAATTTCCAAGTTAATATATCCGCTTGTTTTCTTTTTAAACAGAAAATTTCCAAGTTAATATATCCGCTTGTTTTCTTTAAGATTTTGGTTACATCCTCTCCAAACCCCTGGGGCAAACATTTTTAACTAATCTATGAACACAGGACAGGTACCTAGCGATTGCAAATGTTACGCTAATTTATAAAACAAAAAGATCTAAGAATAACCCTGAGAACCATAGGCCTGTGTCACTTTTCTTAGACTGTACACACAGTTTTCTTAAACTGTACACATAGTTTATTAAATGTCATCTGGAATTTGCTATTCCAGCCTGGTCACCCTGGACAGCTGCAGATATAGAAATATTAGAAAAAGTTCAGAGAAGAGCAGTAAATCTTATTTCTGGTCTGAAAGGTGTTAATTATGAAGAAAAACTTGTAGAATTGGGTATATTGTCCCTTGAGAAACATAGAAAAAGATTTGACATCATCCAAACCTACAAGATATTGTCAAGAATTGACCAGGTAGACAGCAATATATGGTTCAGACCAGTAGGAACAAATGCTCAGAGATTGACACGTACAACAGCTTATTGCAAAAACCTGATTCCGAGCAGATACAAGACTGAGATGAGACATAACTTTTTCTCCAACAGAGTTGCAAATACATGGAATAGACTCCCAACAGAAGTTAAAGAAGCCAGGTCGCTAAACTCTTTTAAAAAACTACTTTATATGACAGACTTTTAATCTTCATGCTTGTGCCCGGAGAGGTGAGTTAAGACCCTACTGCGTGACCTCTCTAAGATGACCGAATCACAACTCCAGATTTTACTACCAAAATTCCCCTCATGTTCCTACCTGGAGCTCGGGGAATAACTCATCAAGTAAACAAATAAGTTTTGTTTTATAAAATTTTTATGAATGGTTTTCCTGGTTGAGAACAGTTTTGGACATAACTACAGCGTACAAGTAGTTTACTGAAATAATAGATTTGAAGTTAATAAAGTACAGTAGTCGGCGTTTATATCAATACAATGAAGACAAGTTTTGATTTCTGACAAGTTTTCTTCAAATTACAAGTTTAAAAGTATACAAAGAGAAGCTGTTAATTGACAACGTCTCTTTGTTTCCATGTTTATGTTTGAGACCTAGGTAGAAATAAAAAAATTAAATCGAAAGTCGTCTTCATTGTATTAATATATACGACGATGACTGTATAATGAGTTTAAACATGTCTTGTTTAAATATCAAACACTTTATATAAAATCAAAAATCTTATTTTACACAAGAGTCTATTTGCAGGGTTTTTAACTTTCCAAGTGGCTGATCTTACAAATATAGTAAAGAGTTTTGTGTAAACTCCTTTTGTAAAAAAAAACTTCGTGGATTTTCAAAGTTTCATGACAATCGAATTTTGTTGGAGGCTAATAGCCTCTTGTAAGTTGTAAACGCCCCTGTTTATTTACCTAAACATTGACTGAACACAAGAGCCATACTGTACGTAAATCTTTCGTCATCGTACTGTCCTCTTGTAATCCTTTCCTAAAAAAGTTTAAATTCATTTTAAATGAAGTCATTTTTCCCTGGCTTATCTTAATTTATCAACCCTAAAAAGATAGTTTGTCGAACTAAATGTTAACCCTTTACTGGAACTAGCTTTATTATATAATTATAAGGTTCTGGGGTAACCTTATTTTTGTAATTTTTATATTTATTCCTTACTGATTTTTTTCAACAGGAGGATATACAACATTTCTATTAATTTAGTAAATCGTACAATATCACACCCTCATCCAGGAAACATTTTAACAGACTACATGTGCCGATGGCGAAGATGACGGGCAAAAAAATCTGGTCTTCATATGTTCGACATCGGTTTGTCGGAGACTAAATGTTGTCACGCGTACCTGTAAGATTCCATAATAGAAATAACAGATAAAGATGCCACTAGCGCACAGAGCAAATTTACTTCTGTGCCCCAACTCTAACATTATTCACTAAAAAATTTACAGATTTAGAAACTAATTAAACCTACAAGCATGGAATAACACTAAATTAAAACCTTCTCTTTTAGATGTGATAAAATATATAATCTTAAGCTCCAACTAGAAACATTGCTGATCTGGGGATCTTTTATAAACTATTATGTGTTTAGGGTGTTCAACGTCGAGAACTTCTCCAGCTCGTTCAACAAAGAAATCCTAGCTTTACTCTACTAATCCTACAAATCGCTACAAATACATTGAACCTACAATTATTCTTAAAACGTGCAAGTTATTAAACTAAGATTTCAATGTAAACCATGTTAAAAGTCCTATTTTATAATCTCGAACTTGAGTCTAATTTTATGAATGGAAAAAACTGTAAATAAGTTTTACAAATGCCAAGAAGTCTAGCCACTACTTTCAAATAATGAGCCTTATCTTTCAGACCACGATGGGTTAGTTGCTCCCTTCTAACTTAATTCATGTCTCTTCCTCCAGGTTCATAAATCATCCGTTAAATAAACATTCACATGGAAACTTTTACACTATGTTGCTCGATTCTCTTCTAGCGGATGGTTTATATAATATTTGTAGATTTGTTGTGATAATTGTAATTCTTCCCTCAAAAGTTCCGTGCACGTCTTCACGCACAGAACCAAGTGATTAATTATGAACATTCAAAGTTGAGCTTGAATAATATCCTAAAATCTCAAAACCACAACATAATTCTCATGCTAGGCTTGCGTTGAGTTTCTGTCGATTTCCATGCTTTTATCCTCTCCGCTGACATGCTGACTTGCAGATGAGCTGTACCCCTGAGCAGCATGCAAAAATCTTCCCTATATGCTTGTCTTCTAAGATGAAGATAATCTCTACTCCTCATACCTACTAATCTTGACACCCTGAGTCTGGGACAAGTCAACATAAAGATGAGGAGTAAAAGAACTTAACCTTTGAGCTTCTGAACTCCGTCTACCAAATTTTATTTAGATCTCATTTGTCAAGACTCCGACACCGACGGAAGCTGAGTTGCTCCTTGATCTCCGGACACTCGGTTTGAGCTCTGCACCCCCTCTGCAAAAATGAGCACAACAAATACCTTTTAGCTAGCTTTAGATTTGAAACTGGGTATATTCCTAGAGAACGATTTTTGGCCCCCCCCCAGGCCCCCCCTCCTCCTATCAATTTTGTACATGGGTCTGACAGGAAGTGTCTTAACTTAACCTAACCTGTGGCCGCAGCGCTCGGCCCCCTAGCCTGTCCTAGCAGCAGCGCTCGGCCCAGAAAGTGACTTAACTAACCTAACATGTGGCCGCAGCGCTCGGCCCCCTAGCTCATCCTAGCCGCAGCGCTCGGCCCAGAAAGTGTCTTAACCTAACCTAACCCTAAATAACAAAAAAATAAACTAATTTCGTCATGTATAAAATTGATAGGAGGGGGGGGGGCTGGGGGGGGGTCCAAAAATCGTTCACTAGGACAGACCCTGAAACTGGATTAATCAAAACATATGTTTCGGAATAAGATACTTCAGTTCATATTAAATGAGTATAGAACTTAATCTAAGAATCAACTGCCTTAACTTCTACATAAAAAATATCCTAGTAAACAAGTTTTAGATTTAATCCTATTGATAACCATTAACCATAACTTTCCGAAAGAAATCTTCGAATTACTGTAAATAAAAATACAGTGTCTTGGCTGACGACACAGGTAGTTACTAGTTTCGGAGATTTTTTCCAAGCAGAGTACACTTTCTGCTACGTGTACCTGGCTTTCTCTCATCTTGTATTAGATGCTTTATCAACAGAATTAATAATCAACGAAACTATAAAGACAATTAGAAGAAATGCATGTGTTTCTACTTTTTTACTGCTGGAAAGGATCGTAAGTCGGTTTAATATGACCATACATATTCTTTAAATAGTGGTATTTACACGTCGAATGCACACATAGCTCTGTAATATGATCCTTTAATTCGGTGATTCTGTTATAATTTAAATCAAATATAGACTACAATATTTGACAAAAAAAACTTTTACTAAATATATGTATATTTTTTAAGAGTTTCATTAGTTCGGTTAGTTTATAGTTCATGTACTTGATCGAGTGCATGAAAAAAATCGAAGAAGTATCGAAGTACAAATTGTAAATTTTACGCGGCAACATTATGTATTTACGCTCAATGCAGCCGGAAAACTGATCGAACGTATTTCTCCGTATTTGGCTTCTCTTATCTTTACAAAACAAATTATCAAATATGACAGTGTATCTTGAACATCGGAGCAATGCTTTACACTCGTATGTATTCTTTTATTGACTGGATTGTCTCAAATGAACTCTTCCTTAGAAGAAGAAATATACAAATTATCACCTATATTGATCTGTTTGAAACATTTAGGTGTTTTAAAGAAAATTGGGTCTATCCTAAAGAACGATTTTTGGACCCCCCCTGCCCCCCGGTCCTCCCCCCTCCTATCAATTTTGTACATGACCACTTCTTTTCAGCGGTTAGGTTAGGTTAAGACACTTACCGGGCCGAGCGCTGCGGCTAGGACAGGTTAGGGGGCCGAGCACTGCGGCAACGGGGACCAAGGGTTTGGTTAATTTATGACATTTTCTTTTATTTAGGTTAGGATTAGGTTAGGTTAAGACACTTTCTGGGCGCGCCTAGCGTTGCGGCTAGGACAGGCTAGGGGGCTGAGCGCTGCGGCCACGGCCTCCCATCAATTTTGTACATGACCACTTTTCAGCAAATTTATTATTATTTAGGGTTAGGTTAGGTTAAGACACTTTCTGGGCCTAGCGCTGCGGCTATGACAGGCTAGGGGACCGAGCGCTGCGGCCACGGGTTAGGTTAAGTTATGACACTTTCTTTATTTAGTGTTAGGTTAGGTTAAGACACTTTTTTGGGCCGAGCGCTGTGGACAATGGCTCCCTTCTACAATCTTTTTTGTACATAACCCTCAAATTTAACGGGCCTAGTTTTAGGGTTAATCCTAGAGAACGGTTTCTGGACCCCCCTCCTTAAACTTTGCACTTACTAATTTTACCTTAAAGAATTGAATTTTCATGTACACATTTCTATGAAGAAATCATTCTCTAGGAAATTAATTAAATCTCGGAATTGTACAAATTTTAAAGGGGGGGGCGATGTGCTAAAAAGCGTTCTCTAGGTCAAACTCTTTTTAACTTAACGAGCACCATCGTCAATCTTAAACAGCCACTGTAAATGAACCAAGCGGGATCCTTAAAATGATTTAGATAAGTTTTTGAATTAAATTATAATTTAATTTATAGATATGTATTTCAGGTCTAATTGGGGGTATTATGAACCGGAAGAGAACTCAGACCGAAGGGTCAGATGCTTCTGACCACTTCGTTTCGGTCAACGAAAGACCTGTCGACGATATTAGGGAGTTTACGATAATCAATGAAAAAATTATTTCTCTTAACGACATGAATAATCATTACGAAAGGCGTGATTATTTCAATGTTTTTAGTGTTTTTGTTTTACTTAAAGATAAATGATTTTTTTTAACGATAAAACAAAAAAATATGAACCAGCCAAAAAATAAAATAAACTAAAATACAAAAAAATGATTGAAAACTGTTCAGTCTTGAATTTTTCTACAAACCTCACACAATTACCCTTCTAGTCGCCTGCATATCTGGAATAACATACACTGCATTTGCTAGGTATTTTTTATGTAATTAATTCCAACGTAGGTTTTTTAACCTTGAATTAAAAGAGATTCACACCGATTATGTCTTATTAAAAAATGTCTGAGTTTACAGCTTAATGTCACTCTTGAAATAAAAGGGAAAGGAAGTTTTAAATCCCAGAAAAGATTGGGAAATTGATACGCTCGCAAGTTTTNTGATGATAAAGATTATATTTTCATTTTTCAATATTTTAGAGATGAGACAGTTGATTATCACAGTAACCTGTATACTGGGTTAGTTGGAGTATCAATTATATTTTTGATAATATCTATTCTCACCCTTCCGAACGGTCCATTCACTAGACCCCACCCTGCAATATGGAGATGTGTTCTAGGTAAGATTTCTTTTATACTATCTCTAATTAGGGAACCCAGCTTTGCCTGAAAACTGAACTTTCGCTTTAAAAATCAATCTTTCCAACTTGAGTTTTCAAGCCAAGCTAAGAACAAGTTCTATCGAGTTTTCTAATCAAAATCACTTTAAATCAAAATAATCAAAATAATTTTATTTTGAATAATTGCAGGGATATCTAAAATGTATTTGATTTTAAATATTTACAGGAATGTCTATAAAGTATTTGATTTTAAATAGTTACAGGGATGTCAATAATGTATTTGATTTTAAATAATTGCAGGGATGTCTTTAATGTATTTGATTTTAAATATTTGCAGGGATGTCTTTTATGTATTTGATTTTGAATAATTGTAGGGATATCTGAAATGTATTTGATTTTAAATATTTACAGGGATGTCAATAATGTATTTGATTTTAAATATTTGCAGGGGTGTCTATAATGTATTTGATTTTGAATATTTACAGGAATGTCAATAATGTATTTGATTTTAAATATTTGCATGGATGTCTAAAATGTATTTGATTTTAAATATTTGCAGGGATGTCAATAATGTATTTGATTTTAAATATTTATAGGGATGTCTATATTGTATTTTATTTTGAATATTTACAGGAATGTCAATAATGTATTTTATTTTAAATATTTGCAGGGATGTCTATAATGTATTTGCTACTACTACAATTCATGATTCATCAAGACTGGGCAACAATAAGGTAAATTCATCAAGGAAAAAAAGGTGCGACGAACGAAAAAAAGAAACCTTAAAAGTGAAAAGAGAGCAATTAAAGATTCTAAAATTATGCTTTATCATAAGAAATGTATAATCAGTGAAACTTAAAGGGACTGTAAGCGTAATTTCAAGTGACCCTCCCTACAAAGATGGCAATGCCCGATTTAAACGGTACCCTGAAAAGCTTTGTCTGAATTATGAATTAGATAATGATATGCATGTTTTTGCTTCTTTAAACTGTTGATTTTTATTTGTGTTTACTTTGCAAAAGTGACTTGCGTATTTCTTGCTTGTAAGAAACTTTGGAGAAATTTACAAAAATGAACATTTTTCGATTCAGAAAAACGACGTTATTTTCTACATGTTTGATCAGACTACAGTTTCAAGAGTACCGTTTTTAATTGGTCATTGTCGTCTTTGTATTAATGGTCCCTTGAAATTACGCTTACAGTCATTTTAAAGAAATTTTTATTAGCTGAACCGAATCCGTGTCAAATTGCAATAAAATCTAATCACTGGTTAAAAATAAGAAGATTTTAAATGATTTGATGTAAAACACCTAACAATAAAACCTTAATTTTTTCAGATCCGTTATTGTCTGGATAGATCCTAAGATGGCAAACTATTCCATAGACGCTGAAAAGGAACAATATTAAATCTATTATATAATGAGATCTTTTAATACTTCTAGATAAACACAAAAAAAATAATTTTTGGGAAAATTGTACTAACTTTCTTTTTAATCTTAGACTAACTTTTTTAATAAGTCATGGTAAATTTATTTATTCAATTAATTAAACATTTTCCATAGTGTTGCTCAATAAACTGTAAGATTGGAAAGCTGTATTTTACCAATTGTAATGTTAATAGGATGTAAAGAAAATAATTTTGCCAGTATCTTGAACATCATTTTCTTAACTCAAATGGATCTGTGTACACCGCACAATTGCTTTGATTCATAAAAATTGATTGAAATTCAGAAAAGTGTTTCCTTTATGATAAGTATAATGCTAGATTTAATGAGTGTTTAATTGGTTGGTTGGTGTAGGAGTACGGTCAGGATTGTTGGGATATCACCTTCGAACGACTCTACTCCCACGTCGATGTTTTCGCTTTCGGGCACTACTGGGGCTGGGGGATGAAGGCTCTCGTAATCCGTCACTACGGGATCCTCTGGTCTATTTCTATAATGTGGGAGCTAACTGAGGTAGGTGGAAATATAATAAAGAAAACAAGAATTAGTTTGCTAGATCACGTGAACGAACTCTAACCGGTACAATGGCTACTAAATTATGTTTACACACAAAGTAAAGTAAATTGAAAATGTCACCAAATTATCAATTATTACTTTTCAATTAAATAAAAAAGGATGTTTCTTCGGTTTACAGGTTTCTAGGTTTTATATTTCATAAATCTGGGATTTCTTACGTTTTTCTGATATTCAAACTTTACATTCATTATTTACGTTTTCTTAAAAATTAATATATTATTACTTTACTAGCTGAAGTGCCCGGCGTTGTCCGTGGTAAAAAACAAATTTCGAATTAAAAAAAATATTTGATTTTGAAAAAAAATCGATTGAAAAAACTAAATTATTTCGAAATTTTTTTTAAACCTATGTTACCCCCATGGTAACCATGGGTTTCCTTAAAAAATTTCAGCCCATTCCGTCCAGCTGTTTGTCCAGCCATACCTTACATTAAATTAAATTTGATATATTTGATAAATAAGTTTGTTAGTTTTTTGGAGTTTGATTGATTGATTTTAATATCAGATTAATTGGTATTGTATTATTAACTTTCTTGCAATTTGATTTATGAATATTGATGGATTGATATTTAAATTTGATTAATTGATTATATATAACTTTGAATGATTTTAATGTGCTTGTAAGTATTGCAGCTTGGCTTATTATTTGATTTTATTAATTGAATATTTCATTGCTGATATAGTTTTGATTTTTTTCATCAATCATGGATCATTTTATATTTTTAATAATTAATTTGATTTCCAATAATTAATTTTATTTTCAGGTTATGTTCGGACATCTTCTTCCAAACTTTTACGAGTGCTGGTGGGATAATATGATTCTAGGAAACAATTAGAAAACAATAATAAAGAGATACTTGGGTGTATATTTTCATTAAAAATCCCCCCCCCTGTTATGAAAATCATTTTTTTATGAAGTTTTTTTATCTATTCTAGTTTTTGAATTTGGGAAAAGAAATGGTTTTTAGAGGAAAGTAAATAAATATTGTGTAAAAAGCATGAAAAAGGATTAAAAAACTTGCCGCTTAATTTCCATTTTATTGTTATTTTTTCCCCAGATCTTCCAACATCATTTTCCCCTCTTCCTCAAAATATACATTACACCCCTGAAAAAATATTAATGAACGAAAAATAAATTATAATTTATTAAAATTTATTAAAACTAGGCTTTTACTTTTTATTGTGGCTTTATCTCTGAGCATCTTCTCTTTGTACAGTATAAAACAAAAACAAAAACAAATCGCGCTTCATCGCGCATTTTGAAAATTTTACAAAAATAAAAATTTTTGATCATTGATTTGAATTGATCATTCATAAACCTTCTTTGGGGCCATGTGAGGTCCCACACAAAATTTGGGTTCAGCCGTTTGGTCGTTTATTGGATTCAAACAAACAGACAGAAAGACAAGCTGAATTTATATTTATGGATGGGTTTCTAACTGTCCAAACCTAGATGTCATGATCTGCAATGGATTGGGTATTTTCACTGGAATGCAGGTTTGTTTACTCATGGAATTTTTTTTTGTAACATCCCCCCCCCCCCCTGCTATTTTTCTTACTGTCAAAACTTTTAGGCTAGTGCATGAGTTTTTTATTGATCAATTGACGCAGAATTGTCATTTTTAGTTTCAGGTTTAAATGACGCAACTATTTTTTTTCGCAGGTCTGTAGGTTTCTGGAGATGAGAGAATATAAATGGGAGAGCATTAAAAACATACAAACCACAACCGGAAAATTCAAAAGGAACAGATTTCTTAATCTCTAGAGCTAACTTTTTTTCTCTCAAATTAAACTGTGAAAAGAAAATTTCATTACACAGTAAAATTTATTTTTAAATATTCAATTAAATTACACAGTCCTCCCTAATCATTTACTTCAAAGACATGGGTCCCAAGATTAAAACTTCAACATAGACTAGGTGTGCAAATCCAAAAACTCGTGCATGCTAAATGCTTGCAAAAATATTTGCAAAATAACTGCTAGAATAGGTTATTTTGATCTTTCCATGGCCAAACCCCAATTTAAAAAAGATATAATAAGATCAACATTTTGATTACTTAACTCTTTTAATAATGTCAAATCAGGGCCGACCCCTCTTAAAATTCAAATTTATATACTATAGTGCACATAAAATGGGGGTTTTTTGTAATAAAATGATCAAAATAACCTATTCATGTTGTCATTTTTCAAATATTTCGCAGGAACGAGTTTTTGGGATTGGCACATCTAGTCTATGATAAAGCATTAGTCTTGATGATTCCAAAATGCTATACATTTGCCCCCTGAAGTAAATTATGATTAGGGAGGACTGTGATTAATTGATAAATCTGTAGAGCTATGCTTCAATTCACTCCGGAATCCTGGACTCATGTTAGGTAAATCAAATCAAATCAATTAAAATCAAATACTAAAACGAAAACATATTATGTAAAAATGGGAGTTAAACAAAACCTAGGATGATCATTTTAGGTACTTTTAAACTGTTTGAGAAGAAGTTTCTCTGCCTGAGTCTTTTGATCCTAAACTTACTAGTTTCTTAATTCAAATTAGAGCTAGGATGTATATGTATAGTATTCACCTGTCTACAAGCCGATGATGAAAATTATTTCTAGGGCTGACTACGAAAGTAGATCTAAAATCAATTGATAAACAAAATCATCCTTTAAGTTTTTATTTTGATGAATTAAAGAGGAATTTAGTGAATAGCACAATAAATATATTTAAGTATCATCTTTCCGTCTTAGACTAAAAGTTTTTAACTAGGATTTATATTAAATATTTGTCCAAGTATTAAACAAGGCCAGGGGTATTCTTTTTCATTATAAATTAATTCTCTTATATCCTTTAAACTGAAGATGTAAATTGAAAACAATTAAACTGCGTTGAGTTGAAAATAAGTTTATTACAAAATGATAAACAAAAATATATGTCCCTGTTTGAACATGGATAGACTAGTAGAGATAAAGCTTAATCTTCTTAGTAACAGCAAAAATATATTAATTTAAATCAGGGGGTGAACTAAACTGCGGCACCCTTTTGATTTTTTGTTCATCAAAATTTCTTATGCGGAATAATGAATATGTCTTATATAAACACATTATGTAAATACAACTTTCTTGTGATTTTTATAACATTTTTAACACCGCCTCACACATATATATATTGTACTTCAAATCATGTTTTGAATAATTAGTTTTTATATTACAGATATATATAAACTAATGTTTTTATATTACAGATATATATAAACTAATGTTTTTATATTACAGATATATATAAACTAATGTTTTTATATTACAGATATATATAAACTAATGTTTTTATATTACAGATATATATAAACTAATGTTTTTATATTACAGATATATATAAACTAATGTTTTTATATTACAGATATATATAAACTAATGTTTTTATTTTACTAGATGGCTAGACCCCAACTCCAGCTATATGCGTCTTATTGCTATTATTCAGTTTATTCTAATCTGGCAGGTAATTAGTAATTAGTAATTAGTAATTAGTGATAAGTGATTAAACTAAAAAATATTTAGTAATTAGTAATTATTAACTATTAATTAGTCATCAATAGTTGGTATTTAGTAGTTGGTAATTTGTCATCGGTAATTAGTAATTGGTAATTGGTAATTGGTAATTGGTAATTGGTAATTGGTAATTGAATTACTTGTAAACTTGTAATTCGAAAAAAGCTTGTTAACAATTAATATTTAAATAGAAAAGTCGTTATAATTGTTTTAATGTAATCGCCGACATCTGTAGTAAAGAGATATCTAACTGAATATTATTTTGTTAGATAATTGTTGTTTCTTGTGTTTTTTTAGATGTGAGTTATTTCTGTTATGTTTAAAATAAATAGATTATTATTATATTAAGGTTGTAGAGTTGAACACGTTCTTTATAAAACACATATTCCCGATGCCAACTGAACACCCAATCTGTGTTGCTAGGTAAAAACACAAAAGAAATGATACAATATAAATAGTAGATAATTTTCATTAATTGCATCATAATTGTTATCTGAAGACTTTAATTTTTTCAACTTTACGGCGTTGTTAAATCTCTAATATAATACTTAGACTAAACAGTCAAGATGTGATGACATAAACATAGTTGTGGCGGGGGGGGGGGGGGTCCTTGGGTTTCAGCAATTAATTTGAAAATAGAAAATAAGAATCAGAAAGAACGAAAAGGACAAGGAAAAAGAAGAATTACAAATTGAATATCAGTAAAATGTAAAAAGTGTAAAATGTTGTATTAGTTAAAAAAAAATTCTGCAATTATTATAATACATAAAGTGAAACCCTTAATAACGAATACATCGAAAGAATTCATCAAATGTCGTATTCTTCACTTTCTGATAATGGAATGTTGCAGATATTTAGTTTTTTAATTAAATGATCATATGAAACTCTTTAAAACTGAATACTGAAATACTGAAATTTACGTAATAAAGTATAAAACTCATTGAAAAATTGTCAAGACGATATTTGATAAATTCTTCCGATGTATTTGTTATTAAGGGTTTTACTGTATTGAAACTCTCCGGGCCACGGAAGGCAAAAGAAAATATGGATAAATGATAATGGTTAAAAACTATATAGGGAGCAAACTCAATTTAGGATTATATTTGAAAAGTATCTAGTCCCATTCCATTCCTTTTTTATCTATCGTCCTTCTTTTATCTTATTATCCAATTATAAGTTTTCTATTTTTACCAATGTGTTTTTTCATATTTTCTTCTGTTTAGGATTCTATTAAATGGTTTAATCTCAGCTCCAGCTATTAGACAGTATTACACCTATGTGACGGATCCCCAGTGTAAGAGGGTCGGAACCCAGCTCTGGGTCTTCATGATGATTGCGCTGAGGTACCTCGTCTAGGTTGCATTTTCATCCTGCATCAGATAAAGGCCCCTCATTAAACTATAGAAATTTTTATCTTGCACTAAAACTTGTCTCAAGACATTTGATAAAAAGTTCTTAATTAAGAAAAGTTTGACATTCTTACATCCAACTAGTCAAGTTTGCTTTTCTTAATCTAGCGTGGATAATTAAAGTGACATTAGTTTTCAAGGTCTTGCCAGTAAATCCGTAAAAATTTGATAGAAGTTGACCCATTTCGACAAAACTGGTTGATTTCTAAGTACAGTTAATATCTAAAAAAAATCTTCCTCATTTAATAACTTGTTTTTCCTTTTACCCCGATTTATAAATTATATATTTCAGTGAGTTGATTCTTGTACTCAAGTTTGGTTTGGATATATTCTCGCACACCCAGATATCTAAGATGTTGGTCTGGTTGTGTCTCAACATAATTGTTAGCGTTCTCGGAGTTTTTGTAAGCATGGAGGTAAACTCCTTTTTTTCAGCGTTTTTATCTACAGGGCTACCCACCAACAATGAGACTTCAGAGACGACTTAATGGAATTCCTCTTCTTTCTTAATTCAAGAAATTATAAAAATTCAACCTTCAGCTCGCCGTAATTATAGAGTTTTTGGTCGTTATTAAAGCTTTATCCGTTGTGAGTAACCCTGTATGTTATGTTAACCTAAAAGAAAGACAGCCATGGTTTATTTGTTCCAACATGTGGTCTATATGATTTTTCATCAAACTACATTTTTACAGAGAAGAATAATGATAATAAAAACAACAAATTTGTTTTATAATCAAAACAATGAAAGTTATAAGTTTATTGTCTAGGTATTCAAGTGGCGACACAATAAATCCGAATCGGCTCCGCCCCAGGATGAAGTGGCGGAAGATGAGATGGTTTCCCGACTTCTCAACTCCGCCGGAGAACCTGCCGTTCGCAGAAGTCCTCGGCACGCGGGAAAACCGGAATTAAAAGTTCGGAAACGAAATGTCCAACTTCCTCCTTAAGTTGAGAGGGATTACGACTTTCTTGTTTGTGCCAAAAAATGTGCTAAATTCGTATTCTTTATATCTTGAGGCATTATCAGTGTTTAGGATATTATGAATCCAGAGTCCGAATTTAATGAATTTGAGCCGCGTCTCGAATCCGCCCAAAACCGGTTTCATTTGAGCTTAAATCTTAAAACATTGAAAAAATTTGAAATGGAACCAACCATATTTGAGCCGCGTGTCAAATTTAAGCCGCGGCTCAAATTTTTTAAATTCGGCCTCTGAATACATTAATTAAATTTCTTCTAGTTCATATCGGTTCTAGCCAATTAGTCCAATTTGTGAATATAGAAGTAAAAGTAAGGAAATCATATTCGTGACCCGCTAGTTTCCTTAATCTTTTATCTCAACTCATTAGCCAAAAGAGTGATATCTAGAGCTCTTTGACGATACACCGAGTTTATCAGGAAGAAATTTCAATCTTTTTGGCTTTTTTCACTTTTGTTGAGACAACATTAAGAATGGCGTTTGTATTTTTAATTCTCTTATTTTGCGGTTTTTGAATTTTTATTTGCTTTGTTTGTTGCCTTTAAATTTTTAATTTGTAAGAACAACTTTTAATGTTTGTAGAATTCAACTTGTTTTCAAAAGAAATATCTCTCTCTTAAACAATAAACATCCTGCCCCCCACCTGCTCTCAGTATACAATTTTGATTTTGTCAACATTTTTGTTCTCTCTCAGATAATATTTGAATTTAGGCAACCCTCGTATGAAAAAATCACAGGTCGGAACTGTTGTGGTGGGAAGTATCGTTAATCTTGAACGCTTAATCTCGACTAATACGTTGGTCTGCAATAAGATCTAAGTTTATCCTGAGTTTCACAACACACAAGTTCTGACTTCAGTTTATGTTTTTTAAACAATGTTATGAAGGAACAAAAGATTAAAAATGTTCCTGCTCCTGAAGAACTTTATGAAAATAGTCGATCAAATTTAAATTGTAATGAACTTCCGTTGTGATGTACTGTACATGTGACCGTTCAATGAAATATGACTTCTTATTGTGTATGTATTATGTTTTATTAAACTTCATAGATATATATATGTTCATGTTTTTAAATGATATTAAAACTCGAAATAATTAATAATTTTTTTATTTTGTTTATTTTGCACAAAAAGTAATTTTTTTCATTCATGATTTTCAAACCCCAGATAAAGTTTTTTGACATTTCTTACTAAAAATGACTGTGTTCATTGCAATGTGAATGGTTTTTTGTTGTTTTAAAATTTAACAATTGTTAAGTTATATGTTAGTAGTCATCAAGTAATAAATATTGGAAATTTTAATTTGTTATTTTCCAGAAAAAATGGCGAATTTACCGACATACGTCATCATACAGGTTTCATTGAATATTTGAATTTATGGAACAATACCAACCTAATTATAGCGGCTATGTAATAACAACAAAATAATTCCGAGAAATCCTTAAATCCTTCGATTTTTCAATCTTGTAATCCTGCAATTCTTTAATCCTTTAATTCTTTTATCCTTCAATACTTTAATTATTTAATCCTTCAGTCCTTTAATTCTTCAATCCTTTAATCCTTCAATCCTTTAATTCTTTAATCCTTCAATTCTTTAGAATTGCTTAATCCTTTAATTTAACCCTTCAATCCTTTAATTCTTTAATCCTTCAATTCTTTAGAATTGCTTAATCCTTTAATTTAACCCTTCAATCCTTTAATTNCACTATTTTTATCAATTAAAAGGATTCAGTACATTTTCTTTTTTTTATAGATTTTGTATATCATTATATGTCAGGCAGATTTTCGTTTTAGAATGCCAGTGTATAGCCTGACAACAGCACTTGAATGAACTATTCCTAGGTGAGGAGTAGGAGGTCTTCAGATATACTTACAGAAACTTAGGTGAGGAGTAGGAGTAGGAGTAACTTACAGAAACCAAGGTGAGGAGTAGGAGGTCTTCAGATATACTTAACAGAAACCTAGGTAAGGAGTAGGAGTAGGAGGTCTTCAGATATAATTACAGAAACCTAGGTGAGGAGGAGGAGCAAGGGTCCTCAGATATTACTATGATTAAATTTGTCGAACACATAACATTGGTTCAGATATTAGATTAGAGATTAGAAATGACTATAATTCAATTTATATATAAGTTTTGATCTAACAACTTTAATTCTTCTCTGATGTCGTCTTCTTCACAGTCCCGTAGCTATAACAGGAGATGCTGCAGACATTCGATATTATCTTCTTCTTGATTGGTGACCGGTCCATATTCTTCAAATATGGCTCGTGGCGGGCTGTTTAGTATATCTAAAGAGAATTTGTCAGAGATATTTGAAATGTTGCTTCCAAAGTCGTTCTGTAGAGAATATGCAGATATCGATCCAATGTAGGAGCCTTCAGCCTTTCTGCAGTCTACATCTTGTGAACCTGATTCATGAATGATATGACCAAGATGGTCAACCTGACTGACCCAGGGCAACAAATATGTTGTAGGACTTGAAATATTCATGACTAATTTGTGACGCAGGTTCAGAATATTTCTCCATTAAGAAATTATGTAACGTGTGATTATGTTTAAGCCCTGGGTTTCCTGAGACGGTTCTACATGTGAGTGCGTCTAATAAGCATATTATTAGGATAGCTGAACAAATAGAGGTATATTTTTTTGCTAATTATTTTACTGCGTTACATCTTTTGACCCCCTAAGAACACATATTAGTATTGTGGGAGAGTTCTTTCTTATGACATACTTCACTTCATTTGGAAAGATTATATACCGATTATTCCAATAAAGTACTTTTTCTCAAATAAAAATGCAAATCTTTGGTAAAGCATGAAAAATCCTGTGTTTTATTTTATTTTATGATAGAGTTTACCATTAATATTTTAATTATATTTAACATAAAAAATAATTAGCAGAACGTTTAAGTTGTTCACCGCAACTGAATGGTGATAATTAAATCCTAATAATCTGTGTTAAGGTAAAGAAGATGGATAAAGAAGGGTTTGTCAGAGAACTAACTGCTGACAGGATAGATGAGTTCCCAGGTTAGAATTTTACTTATTTATGCATAGATGTTTGTGTTTTATTCGAAGATATCATGTCAGGGGAAACTGTAAATGAGTTTACAAAATATAATATAATTTAATTTATTTAGAAAGTGGCAGGGTTGGCCCACTTTCCATCTCCGATGTACAAAGATGCATTCTTCATGCCATACACAGGGAATAAGACTAAAAATTAGTAATTTAAATAAACTGAGTCTAAAACTAAAAAATGCGCCAAATCAAAGCTATAGCTTAAAATTAGGTTTGTAAAATAATGAGATACTACTTAAATAATAAACTTGCTCAATTTAATTCTGAAGGGAAATTTGAATTTCCCGGGTAAAATCTGAACCAATCAGAGAAAAGATATTACGTGATCATCGCTCATCAGCTGTTTTTTAACTTCACTTCAAATAATTTACGTAACCGAAAACAGTTACAGAACATGTTCCCAGTTGCAACCGCCGTTTTTTGGGTTTACATTCAACCATTAATTAAGTTAAAAATAAAATGTTAAATTTATTCAATCAAGGTTTTTTACTTTAAATATGTCGTTAAATTGAATGCCGCCTTCTCAGGATTGATTGATAAACAAATTGGGTAAATGCGAGAATTTAAGATTCTAACCCTGATTTTAACTCGTCGATTTCGGTGAGTTAAATATTTAAACCCAGAGTTAAAATTAGGTTTAAATAAAGTCAAGAAGTGGCATTCAAACTGAAAATTAAAATTTCGTTCTTTAGTTTTAGACATTTCGTTCTTTAGTTTTAGACATGTCGTTCTTTAGTTTTGGACATTTCGTTCTTTAGTTTTGGACATTTCGTTCTTTAGTTTTAGACATTTCGTTCATTAGTTTTAGACATTTCGTTCTTTAATTTTAGACATTTCGTTCTTTAGTTTTAGACATTTCGTTCTTTAGTTTTGGACATTTCGTTCTTTAGTTTTAGAATAATAAAACTTAGTTAAGATCAAAAATGCATGAATTATTCATATTATTCTCTTAGTAAATTGATTATTTTTAAACTTGGGTTCTCTATTAACGTAAGTAGCTTGCACATTACTGCTTCAGAAAAGAATCTAAAAAATTATCTGAAAAAAACTTGACATGCTAGAGAAACGATAAGATCTTCCACATTATTGAGCCGAATAGAGTTTAAAGGTATCGCTGTGAATCGGGCAAGGCCCTTTATAATATCGAAAATCTTAAAATCCCTTTAAACCTAACATTTCTAGAGAACCTTCGTTATGATCTTTAATTATTTAAATAGTAATTACGAATTTCTAGTTGTTATAGAGTTCATTTTGGAGTTGATATTATCAAATTACCCGGACATGGAAGTTCTGTTATGAAGAGGGCACCAGTTGTCTCCAGCTATGAGGTGAAATCTTTTCTTTTTCAAACTTCTTTTAGACTAAATAAAAATGTTTGTTAATCTTTAAATACAGTCATAATCAGAAAGACCCGGAATTGACCTACATTTAATCAGTCAACTTTACGATCTAATATAACAAATATGATGAAGCGATAATCACTAGATAGCTCTAGTCCTGCCCTGCCATTTCCAAAATGTGGTCGGTCTTTTTTGAGCATTTTAAATTGCCATTGAAATATATATAAAGTCATCTGATTAACTGTAATTCCGGATCTTTCTGGTTATGCCTGTATGATCAAATGGATCGTAAGATAGTCCTTATTAGTTATTAGGGGCGTAAACTTGAAGTTGTCCGGGGGAGCCTTAACCTTTTTAATTTTGCAGTAATAGAACTATGTATACGCCCTAGGATATTTCCAGATTTGGTGACAATAAATTAAATCCAATCGACTCAAAATATGATCATTTGATCAATGATCATGTAATCTTAATCCTAAATTGTATGTTCCAGGAGAAGCACTTGTTGACTCTGATCCCAACCCATGATCATGAGACGATCGACACCTTATACAAGAACTGGAAGAGAACATATTTCAGTTCACCAGTAGATCAGGAAAACAAAACCTTCATCAGTCTGAGATGGAATTTAAAGAATTTGAGCCGCGGTTTAAATCCGCCAAAACCCGGTTTAAATTAAGCGCCAGCTTAAATCTTGAAACGTTTGATACAATTTTAAGTGGAACCAACCATATTTAAACCGCGGCTTAAATTTAAACCGCCGCTCAAATTCTTTAAATTCGGCCACTGGTTTAATCATTTTTATTATTAAAAGACAACCCGTCAGTCGATTAAAATTGGGATACCGTCCACTAAAACAAAAACACCCATACAACCCTACCCACAGAATAAAGATTGTGAGAAGATGATTCTTTCCGTAACTGGCGGATTCGGACCGAACCTAGAATTATGCGTTTTAGAGTTTCCTTTTCAATAGGGGCAACAGTTTTTGTTATGTTAATTCATATTTTCTCAATCTCGTAGGGGGATGTCCTTGGTCGCTTTTCCATTTTAATTTTCCCAATCTGTTGTCACATTTATTTTTGTTCTTTAATAATTTCCCTTAAATGTTTGTTGACTAAACTCAAGAAAATTTAATATTTTTTATTGTTTAATACCAAGAAATATGTTCGTAGTCAAAGTAGATTAATACTAGAAAGAGAGTCCGGTTTTAAAAGATTTTTCTGATAGTTTTGTTGTAAAGATACGAGATTATTTTGGTGAAGGTGTGAGTTTATATTTCTCCTTTTCCTCCCTCTACACCAGGTTTCTCATCATAATTGCGCTCCTAGGGATCACGGAGTTCCTCAGTGAGAAATATTTAGGTCAAGCTTTTATACTTATTTTTTATGTTAATCTTTTCAAATATTCTGGGATAGATTTTATTATTATCTTAAGAGTAATGCTAATGCCTTGGAAATGTATCATGCATAATATAAGGCATATTCCTCATGCAAAATATGCAGTGCTTAGGATCCGGAGCCGTTGGATCCGCAAGATTTTGGCTTCCTGGATTCGGATCCAAGGGGCAAAATATCAACCAAAAACTACAAAAAAAGGCTTTTTTACTCTTAAAACTCAAATCTGAACTGTTGAAAAAAGAGAGATTATAAAATTTCATGATCTCTGAATGGTTCATTAAAGTTTTAGCATAAAAATAAGCGAAAAAAGAAAAAAAAAATTTGACAATTCTGCTTTGTTAAAAATATTTAGTAAATCTTAAAGAAATGTTCATGACCTGGATCCTGATCCGGATCGATTTTTTTCCAGTGCGGATCCCGGATCCGCATCCAAATTAAATGGATCCTTAGCATTTGAAATATGGATATCATTATATTTTAGATAAATTAATGCAATACAGTTTGTTGGGGGACCAGTTGGCACTTGGGCATGGCTATTTGTCCCAGCTTCTAGCAGCCGCCTCCCCCCATAAGATGGGGGGGGGCTATTTAATTAAAAATTGTATTCTTATTCTTAAAGGTATGGATCATGTGTATAGCAGTGTCGGATTTACTTTACTTAATATATTTGGTTTGGCACTCTACTTGGAGGTGAGAATTTTTTCAACGTTTCGACGAATTTTTTTGAAGTAAACTCAGTGACTTTTTAACAATTGCATGTAAAATAAGAACGTCTTCTTTTCCTAGTCATTTTATTATGGGTAGCATAGAAGAGAAGAATTTTCATCTTTCAAATTAGCAAGGAAGCTTTGTCATAAAATTTTTACTTACTTTAAAAAAATGTTGTTATGTCATAGGTTTGGAAGAGAACTAGTAATGAACAGTCTTACTTCTGGGGAACCACTGGCAAACTTAGGAACAAGATCCCTAGACCAGAATACAGGTACTTTCTGAATACTAGACCAGAATATAGGTACAGTCTGGTCCCTAGACCAGAATAAAGGTACAGTCTGAAAACTAGACCAGAATATATGTACAGTCTGATCCCTTGACCAGAATGCAGTCTGATCCCTAGACCAGAATACTTGTACGGTCTGATTCCTAGACCAGAATTTAGGTACAGTCTGATCCTTAGACCAGAATACAGGTACACTGGTCCCTAGACCAGAATACAGGTACAGACTGATCCCTATACCGGAATACAGGTACAGTCTGATCCTTATACCAGAATACAGGTAATAATCTGATCCCTAGACCAGAATACAGGTACAGACTGATCACTATACCAGAATACAGGTACAGTCTGATCCTTAGACCAGAATACAGGTAATAATCTGATCCCTAGACCAGAATACAGGTACAGTCTGATCCCTAGACCAGAATATGGAAAAGTCGGTAAGATGTATAAACATTATATTAATTCCTTATTACGTATAGATCTAATATACAGCTGAGGCTGAGATGTGTAATCTATATAATATAACACTCCGCGTATATATATGATAATTATAGCTGGAAAAATTTTTTTAGGAAACACATGGGTACCTTGGGGTAATATAGGCTACATAATTATAATTATTTTCTTCTTCAAAATTCGATTTTTTTCCAAAGTTCTTTTGAAATTCCACGGCCAACGCCGAGCACTTTAGCTTGTATCTTGTATGTTATGGATTAACTAATTGCTTGTGCTGTGTAGAGGAGATCTACGAATGAGTCCTATATCTGGTAAGGAGGAGATGTACTACTCCCCCAGTAAGACCATGAAGAAGGTGTTGATGGTCTCCGCCCCTCTCACCCTACTCTGCCTCAGGTAGGATGAATTCAATTTCGAAAAATCGAGAATAATAATAAGGCCTTATAAGGTGTACAACAGGGCAAAGAAAATGTTTCAGGAAATTACAAAATTAATTCTTTAAAATGGAAGATAATAAAATAAAGGTACAAAAAGTATAAATTCTCTAAAGTCGACAAAAGTTAAGATTATATTTTTTTAACGGAGCTAATAATTATTTAAGTATGTTATCATTACACATGTAATTTATTTCTGTTAGCATCTTAGATTTATGTATTAAAAGTCCCTACACACCCCTTAAACCAAGCTATAGCTTGATTCTGTTAATTCTAGTATAGCCTTGATGTTGATGTTTGCTTCCCTCTATGTTGAAGCGGAGCTCATCGTATACCTCACGGATCCGGAAACAGGAGAGATATATCCGGATATTTTCAGGAAAATCAACATTTTCTTAATTCAAAATTCACTCTTAAAGGGACAGTAAAGGAAAAATGAAAGGGGGTATAGGCTGAAAGCTAATCACTTTAGCTCTCGATCGTGACCCATGAAAGTTTTATCTGATGTTCCTATCTCGAGAAATTGATTTACAACTGTGTCAAATTTATACGAAAATTAATATATATACAATTTTGTATAAAAGTAGTGGGTTTAAATAGATCAAATTCAGCCAAAAAGCAACCAATCTGAAAACGTTAATATCCCCGAGAAAGCTAATTATTACTTAGGTTTACTCCAATTCTAATTTTATATTTGTTATTTCTATTTTTAATAGATTTAATTCATAATATTATTTACACGTCCGAATTGCTTGACCAGAAAATCCACCAATGACAGTGCAGTAAATTTGTCACGTGATACAGGCAGAGACACGTGATCAGTATACTGCTCTGCCATTGGTGATAGTTCTGGTCACGTGATTTAAGTTTAAGATTTTCTAAATTTTACATATATGAACTTTCGTATGATTTTAACACAGTTTTATATCAATTTCTCGAGATAGTAACATCAGATAAAACTTTCATGGGTCGCGATCAAGAGCTAAAGTGATTAGCTTTCAGCCTATACCCCCTTTCATTTTTCCTTTACTGTCCCTTTAAAAAAAATATTTGAATGTTATCTTATTCAATAATAATATTTTAATATTATTATATATTTTATAATGATGATATTTGTTGATTTTAGTTCAGTATTATCAAATATACCGTCCATAACCTACAGTTTGCTTATCATCCTCTTCAACTCTATTTATCTCAAGATCGCCAGAAAACTTACTATTTGGGAAAATCATAGGTATAGATATATTGTTTGATTTCCGACATCTTGTTTCGTTTTCCGACAATTTATTTCATTTACCTCCATTTTATTCAAGTCTTTAATTTTCTCACGTTTTATTGTCCATTTTATCATTATGTTTACTTCAGGACCCAAGAGCAGCATGATACTCACGTGACCGCAAAGCTGGTCGTGTTCGAGTTTGTTAATACATTCATAGCACTTTTCTACACTGGATTCTATCTTCAGGATCTCAAGTCCCTGAAGTAAGTCAAATAGTTGAAAAATTAATTAATTAATTAAGAATTAAGTTTTGTCACAAACTCAAATTTTCTTATCCTTGTATATTTGCAACCTGATGAGGTTAACCTGTGATATTTCAGCTTAGACTTTGTGACCTAACAGAATTCATAGTTTGAAATATATAAGATCCACGACAAAGATATAGGGATTAGAATATCAGAGTTTGTAGAAAAAAACTTTTTTTTAAGATCTAAATATTTTTATTCAGTAAAAAGTTAAATGCATACATTATTGATTAAGATTTGTACGATTACATATACATTTTATGTTTATCTCTGAACCACAGTTTTAGCTCCACCTCTACACCAGCTTGTAAACACTCCCTATATAATCCCAGAACTCGATGAGTAAAACTCATTGTCAAGTATGTTAACTAAAGGTTGTGTTTATCTCGCCCCATAGCAACAGCTGTAGGGGCCACCTTGGGGACAGGTATCATACCAAAGAGAGAGAGAGAGATAGGACCTTCCTGCTGAAATGCCGGTACTGAACTGAAAAAAACTTAATTTCTCTGTAATATTTCCACAAAAGCCTTGGTAAAAACGTGTTTTATTAAATATGTGTATATATTTGCTAAATAATAATATTTGTTAACAATCCACTTCACTAAATTTTAAAGTAACTTCTGTCAGGAGTTGATAAAAATTATATTATCAATTGATTACAAGAAACATTTTTAAATTTTTTACATCTTCCAAAAAGGGTCGTCAGCATTGATATGTGCTAGATAGTAGATATTACATCTGCTACTTGTATACGCCATTAAGAAGTCCATATTGTCTTCAAAATTTAAGAAAAAATATTTAAATGGTCAGAATTTTAGTTGATGATTAATCTAGATCCCAGCTGTTTACAACCTTGATGGTTCAGCAAGCTGTAAACCAAGTTCAAGAAGTTCTCATCCCATTCTTCCTTCATAAACCTAGCTCAGGTAGTAACTAACCACACAGTAGGTTCAATGACTTGTTATCCTGTTTAGCTCTTCATAAACCTAGCTCAGGTAGTAACTAACCACATAGTAGGTTCAATGACTTGTTATCCTGTTTAGCTCTTCATAAACCTAGCTCAGGTAGTAACTAACCACACAGTAGGTTCAATGACTTGTTATCCTGTTTAGTTCTACATGAACCTAGCCCAGGTTCAAGTCCTTTATATTTCTTCAATCTTGAAACTTAAAATATTTTGATTTCTTAATTTATAATTATTGTTAACGTTTGAATGTTCAGTGAGGTTGATGAGCAAAGTTTCAGCAAAACTAGGGATTAAGCAGAAGATCATTGAGAGGTTAGCAAATATTTGGAAATTTGTGTTTTATTAATTTATATTTTTGTAATTGTAGAAACGTTAAAAACATTGAAGAGTTAAGCTCGGAAGATCCAAGAATCCAGCCAGTGCTCCAGGATATTGGAGCTGACCATCTGGACTCCCTCCATGATGACTTTATGGAGCTCTGGCTCCAGTTTGGTCACGTGTTCCTATTCTCAGCTGTTTATCCCCTCGCTGCTGTCTTAGCATTATCTAATAATATTACAGAACTCTGGGCGGACAGGTAATAAGGTTTTCAAGTCGAAACATTTCTATTATTTTATATCTAGCATGGTAGCAGAAAAACTTGCTGTTGCCATTGCCCATTAGTCTTAAAATTTCGCGGTTACATTGCAGTTGTCTGTGTAGTGTATAGTGATTGTCTTCATTCAACCTATTTTTCAAATTCCAAAAATAATCATCCCTCGGCAAAAAAATGAACTCCTGCGTAGATGTGTCCTGTATCAGACGAATGGGCGAATTTAACATTTTTACATCTCAAAATTTTTCGGTTTTCAACGTTTCTTGGATTCTTTTTAAAGATCGTCCAACACTCCGCAAAACTGGCCTCCCGCGTCAAATTGATAAATCTGATAGCTATGCCATCTATCCTTTGTTACCAAAGTGGGAATTTGTAAGATTTTAGATTTTTTATATCTGATTTTGAGTAGCACGGTTTGGCCAGCTATAAAATAAAGTTAATTATTGATATTTGATCATTTTCTTGTCCAGGTACAAGATGTGTAGGTTGACCCGTAAACCTCGGCCTGTATCTGTTAGGGATATTGGAGCCTGGTACACCGCCTTCAAACTTATAGGTCGGATATTCAGGGGCATATTCAGGAGTTTTCATTGGGGGGGGGCAGCAGTCGGCACCCGTTGGGTAACAAAAAAAAACCTGAAAATCCTTAATTTTCACTGATTGAGGAGATGGCTTCTAGCCCCCATAGCCCCCCTCCCTGAGTACGGTTTTGTATTAGGATAAATTTTTTACAAAAAGATTTAAACCGAGCTGGGAAATTTGTGTTGGATACTGCTAATCCCGATCGCTTGATCTCGATATCTACTATATGGACACTTTTAATTCGAAGATAAATGTTTCATCTTTTCATTTAAGTTATTTTTCCTATGATCAAAGATTCCTTCATTCTTCTGTTCTGACTGGGTTCGATTACCATGCGGCATATCGAATAATCTGCAGATTAACAAAAGATCGAAATCAAGCATTTAACTCGATATCCACAAAACAAGAGATCCCAGCTCTGATCGAATAGACGATTATATTGTCTATCACAATTTGTTAAAGTTCACTTTTCTGGCAAAATCTTCTTATTCTATTATTTAACCTGTCCTACCATATTTTGGAATAAAAATAGTGAATATTATTATATCAGGTATGCTGAGTGTTTTGACGAACTGCTGCTTGCTGTCCCTTGACTTGAAGAGTAGGACCGAGGTTTCCTGGTTCTCCTCCGACCTGTCCTGGTTCTTGTTCTGGGTCCTGGTGGAGCACATTCTGCTCTGTATATTCCTAGGCCTCGATACTCTTATCAGTGATGTTCCTCGTCATGTGAAGATGGAACAGGATAGGACCGAGCATCATTTTAAGCAGCTCTCTATCAAACAAAAACAAGAATAAGACGGAGCATTTTTAAAAGCAGCTCAAAAACAAGAAAATCACGAAGCATCATTTTAAGCAGCGCTATATCAAAATAAAACTAGGATAGGACGGAGCAATATTTTGAGCACCCAACTATTAATAAAACAGGAATAGGAGGAAACTGTTTAAAACTAAACCAAAAATATAAATGAGCATCATTTTCAGCAGCTATCTAATTTATCAAACAAAACACAAGGGCAGGACGAAGCATCATTTCAAGCAGCTATCAATTAAACAAAAACAAGAAAACCACGGAACATTCTTTTAAGCAGCTCTGTATCACACTAAGCCAAGAATAAGAAGGAGCATCTTAAAAAGCAGCTCTTTAACGAATAAAAACCGAAATAGACCGGAGCGTCATCTTAAGTAGATTTTCAACAATATGTTAGGATTGGGAAGAGTCGATAAATTGAAAACAAATAATATATTTTTTATTTCATCACATGTAACATGTAACAAAATAAATATTCATTCTAATTCTTAAGATTGTGCCATAGCATCCAATCCGTCCATTTGCTGCTAGTATATATTTAGTGTGCATGTAAGCTATTTAAGCCATATTATAAAATTTATAATAAAGCTATAATTTTTTCATGTGTATTTTTAAATTTAGGGCGATTATATCATAAGTTTTACGCAATATTTGTGTTTTCAACCCGCGTGCTAAAACCCTTAAAACTTGTTTAAGTGACCCGTGTATCGAAAGAAAAGCTTTAATTACGATTGAACTATTGGTGCTATCATTGTGTAATTATGTACTTCATTGTAAATTTTTCTCTGGTTTCTCTGTTTGTTTTGTGATTTTAACTTAGTTTTATTTAATAAAATCTTTGACCTTGATTAAATTACCGAAACCGCATAACTTTTAAGACAATATGTTTAATCGTAACCTTGTATTTAATGTGTTTATGTGAGAATTAGAAACAATGCATGTAGCAATGTGTCAAGATTCAGGAAAGAAGAAATGGGAAGTTCTGGCGTTTATTTCGGTGGATTTTCTAGAAGCGATTTGTAGATCTTGACAAGGTGAGCTAGATAATTGCTGCAATTTTCACAGACCTCAATCTAATCTTAAATTAGCAATTTGAAGGATCGCTATTGGTGTACTAATAGATTACTATGTGCATTGTTGTATTTTTTGTAAATCATTGATTTAAAACAGTTAAATATCCTTCCTGTTTTGCGTTTTAAATCCCCTCAATTAATGCAAGTGCGGGTTTCAGTTTTTTATTAATGTTGGGTTAGTTTTATTAATATAGACCTAATTCTCTTGCATTATTTTTCTTTAAACTCCTTTCGGTTTTAATGTGCTAAGAGCTTTTATTTACAATCTTTTTATTTCAAATTTAATTTTTTTCGTCCATGAATTTGAATCGCACTACTTTTTCTTAAGAATAAGAATTCACGTTGCAATATTATTCATCCCCGGCCTCCTCCCCCCACTCCTGATTTGTTAGGGTTAATTTGAACAAGATATGCATGTGTTATCTAATAGATAAACACTCTCTAGTTTTCCTCAGTAGTTCATATTAAATGTAAACACTCAAACATTCAAAATTAGATTTCAAGTTTATGATTAATGCTAAAAACAGAATATATCCTTCGAAATATGAAATTATATATTTAGACTATTAAAAGTTTTTTTATTGGTTGAGATTTAAAATCCTGTCATTTTCACCTTTTACGTTTTATCCAATTTCAATTCTCTTTCCTTTACCTGATTGTTGGTTAGCAAGGAGCGCAAGCAAAATCTTATGTTTTAGAATAGTAAGAACTATAATTACAGGCTTACTCAAAAGGATGAGACTGTAAAGACGACCGGAAACTCTTATGGTGACGATCTCAAGGTTAATTAAGTCTTGTTAAAATATAGTCTTTAAAGGCGTTTAAAATGCTTCGGCAAAGAAAGACAAGTTTACAGTTGAAGAATGAATGTAAGGAGATAGACCGCACAAATTCAGTACAATTTCGGCGCTAAAATATCATCCTTTTTAGGTAACCCTGTAGTTAGTTTTATTCTTATACTGTGAGTTACATAACGTGTGCTTGAATGTTTTAAAATGTAAAAAATTACAGAATTTTAAATATTGTTACCACTGTAGAATGGTGAATATAGTACTAATGGGCGTGTCAGGAAGTGGGAAGACTAGGGTGGGCGGAGAACTTGTTCAACAGTTGGACTTTACATTCAAGGATGGAGACGATTTTCACAGGTATTGGTCCATTGGATAGTTAAGAGTACCAGAGTAAAATGAAGGTATGAAACCTCTGATCCAAATACACTGTGATCTAAAGGTCTAAAGCTCTCAAGCAAAATTTGATAATAATTTTGTCAATTTCTTCTTAAAAACCGAAGCTAACAACAAGTGCTCTACAGTGCTAAAAGTTCATGTACAGACATAAGTGAGTTAGCGGTAAAATCAATGCCCAAGGCGTTGCGACACTTCAAAGTTGACACTGTCTTAAAAATTGATGAGACTTTTTATAAGCAGGCTGAATTTATGTGTACATAACTTTGTACTGGTTCACGTACGTTTCAAACATAACTCCTCTTATTGAAGAGTTATCATGAGAAGAACTAAATGCTAAGAATTTCTAACATACCGGTTAATGGGGATGGTGGAGTTGGCACATTTGATCTAGGGGGGGGGGGGCCCCCCT